ATAATTAAATTTAAGTTTTCTAACTTTGTATCCAACTTACATGATATATATTTTAATCCATTAAATCCATTATATTTTAAAGAAATCCAGTAAAGTGAATTATATAAAAATCTAGTCGTAACAAAAAACAGCGAAGAATTCGTTTAGTAGTTTCAGTATCACATAATCAAGTTAATTTACAGTTGGTCGCGTGCGGTAAATAATTACCCCATTATTTTCAAAATGTGTTTCAAAATTATTTTGTCGTGTTATTTTGTGTTCGGATTATTTATACCCTCTTATTTTATAATAGTGTAAGATAAAATTAAATTTACTTGTCATTATATTTGCTAGTGTATTCTATACCATTGTTTTAAATTAGTGTTGGTACTATTTTGTCAAATGCTTACAGAAAAATGTTTTCGTTTCTATAAGATTTTACAAAAATTATTATTAAATACGTATAGTATTTAATAATAAATTTACTTAGAGTTGTATTTTATATTAATTCGGTAAGAAAATCTAAATAATTTAAAATAAAATATTAAATTGTCTAGTTAGCTTTTGATTATATAATTATAGAAAAAGTTTATAGTTTCCCGAAAATTTAAATTTTTACCAATAAATTTAATTCTTATAAAATATTACTCCGCACTATCGGCAGAGAGTTAAAGAAAAAATATGTTTTGAAATTATACATAAGAAATTTAATTGCATTGCTGGCCAATTCAATAAAATCTCTATATTATTATTATTTTTTGTCATTTTACTTTAATTTGTGTAAAAATGCTTGTACATGATTTATTAATAAGGCGCTAAAAAAAAGATTTTTTATTTAGATAGAAAATGTTTTTTATATTTGTATTCGTTAAGATTTTATAAATGTGTTCAAACGAATATTACATTAAGTACTTTATCTTAAAATTTATTACTAATGATATGTCAAATATCACAGTTTTATTTATATTTTACAAAATCCGCTCAATCCTTAAATTGAAAAGATTTGTTGTTTCAAATATTATTTGCAAGTACTTTTATCAAATAAAGAACTTGTTTGAATAAACGTTCAGAACGATATTGATAAACTTTCTGTGAAAAATTAGTTTTAAAGAAAAATAAGTGTAGATATTGAACGAACATTAAGTTGGATTAATAAAACTTTCTTATAACAAAACTGTCCAGTGTTTTATAAATATACATTAAGTTTTTATTTTTGAACTGTAATTATAATGTGATCATAACGAGATAAAACGTTGAAATTTTGTACGTCATCGTCAATTTTGTACTTTGTTTTTTTTTTCAATATTTTACCTAGGAAGTTTTACATAATTTAACGTTAATTCATATAAATTAAAAATATAATTTAAGTGTATTCGTCATAGGACAGTATTTCTCATTAAAGCAGAATTTTGTAGCAAGTGCCTTAGTTATTCCAGTGTTTTAAAGCGTCGCTTTACATCTGCTTTTAGAAGACCACACACATAAAAATACCCTACTTTTATGCATATAAACGAGAACAGTATGTATAATTTAAACTTACCCGTACCAAGGTATTTGTATATTTACAGTACTACCAAAGTTATACCTGTTCAGTGAATGTGTAATGCATCGAATAAATAAAATAAATCTTAGGACCAGCTAATATTTTGAACGCGTAGATTTTGCTATGTATAAATTATACATACATTCTCGATTTTTCTTTTCTTTGGTTTTGTGACCTCCTAAGAATATTGAAATAAATAAAACAGATACGATATTTTTTAAATAAGTTCATACCATATAACCATTTGTAGTATGTGTACATTTTATTTAAATTTAAATGTGTGTGAAAACATGAGCAACGACAAATTAATTTTACTATACCGACAGAGTGGTTTTAGCAGTTATAAATGCAAAAATAATATACAACAAGTATTGGTATAAAATGTTATTTTTTTTAATAGGCGCGTTGGTGATATTAAATAATATTATTAGTGAGGTTTGTGAAATTTGTCAGCTAATTCTCTTGGGTGTGCAATAGATAACTTCGGTTACATTATCTCAATAAATGTATGTAGCTCCAAAAGGCATTCCCTTGTCAATAATTAGTGTAGTATTTTATAAAAAAATTAACTGAATCAATAAAAAACCAATTAACCCAATACTTGATACCCATACAGTATTAATTATATTTTAAGCGTTAAAATTCAATCCTTTCAAAATGTTGGTATCGAAAAGATTAATGTATAGCGTTTTATTCGAATTAATAAAATGAAATATACCAAATAATTGTTGTAGAATTTTTGAAAATTCAAATAACTAATGATATTATAACTTTGTTATAAAAAAACAAGAAAATTGTTCCTAAAATAACTCTAATAAAACTGAAGTTTTTAACTAAAATCGCTTTACGGTTATAAACAAAATTCATTATTTTAATGAAAAATGTGTTTTCAACTAGTTGGGTATGTTATTCCTAAACGGTTTGACTTCACTGCTTCAATATAATCTGTAACTCACTAGAGTTCTATTTGATGTTACGAGACTAATAAAATATAGACTTTCAATTCATAAATAACAACAAATCTTTATTTCTCTAAAAATATCATGTATACCTGACTGGGTCTCAAGAGATATTGGCTGGTAAAAATAAGGTGCGTCTTCGGCGACGAGGGTACACAGAACTCCATTAATAAAAATGATAAGTTATTCTGAACAAGTTAATATAAATAAGAATGAATTACCGCTATTATGATAAAATGTCGACTAGCACCAACGTGTTTTGAATTAATTGAAGAAGAATGTAATTGGTTCTGTTTACACCCGCGCGTTGCATACTCTTGTTTGGTCGTTTGACTGATAAAGAACTAGTCTTATCATGAAATGTTAATATTAGTGAAGAATGAACAATCAGTCCGTAAAAATGTCTTTAAGGGATTTAAATTTTTTTAATTTGTACAAAAAAAATTATTACGTTGTTTACTTTTAGTTATAAAAATGTATAATTTAAATACTCAAACATTGAAAGTACGCAAAATCATTAATTATGCATGTTTTTAAATTGTTTATCAGGAATTGTCTATTAAAATTACTATTTTAAAATATTTAATACTACAAAAATGAAAAGTAAGGATAAATGTTGTTTTTCTCATTTTTGTGTATACGTTTACACTTCGTTTGTTCTTAGGAAATTGCATAAAATATCGAAAACGTCATAAATATTACTAAAAGCTAAACGTTATGTAAATGTACAACATATACTGTTAAAAGTGTTAAAAAGAGAAACTTGCTTACTGTTAAGTCATGTTATTTACTTTGTTTATAGTAATAACAATGAATATTAATTGAAAAAATTCGGTTGGAAATAAATCTTAAAAAAAAAGACATTTTGAATAACAAGTTTTAATAGAAGTTTTTTAGTAATAACTCAAACGCTATCATAATTAAAAATTTGTTTAATTATTTATTGTGTTATACAAATTAATTTTTCTTTTCTTTTTTTAATTAAAAATAATTGTAACATGCTCATTTTAACACTCAGTAATTTATTTTATTTTTTGCGATAGTTGAATGTATATAATTTTAAAAAGACAAACCCCTTTTCCTTTTTTTGATGTTATAGCCTATGTAGTTATAATGCTAAATCGAGAGATATGTATTAAAATAATTTAACTATAATCCAAAATCGTGATTAAAATAACAGTATTATATCTGTTTATTTTAATTATCACATTGAATATAGCCTTAATATTAAGTATTTATAGTATAGATGTGCTCTCTTGGCTGTCAATGGAGCGTGGGACTTTGACAGCAATATTTATTTTTAAAAATTGATTTATAGTGTTTATAGTGTCATTTTAATTACATCAAGTTCATTCAAAATGAGAAAGAAAACGCATGCTTATCTAGTATAGCTTTAGTTATGTCGTTAGATAAACAAACTCACGTAGGTTGTGGTGAATTATTTTGTAAATAAATAAATCACTTATATCTAAAATGAATTTTAAAATATATGATAGATACTATAGAAGAATAGTTGATCAATTTTTTTATATCTTTAACATAAAAGTAAAATAAAATTTAAAAGTCAGATTTCACTCTTAATGTACATTATTTTTGTATTATAATGTAACTTTATAAATTTTATTCGGACTGCACTACTAAAAAAGTTTGATCAAGTGCTTGGTTAAAACACAATGGTTTAAAACACAAAAACAAGTTATTAATAATTATTGAATTCAATTATTGAAGTGATATTTTCCACTACAATTTTTAAGTCCAAATAATAAAATAGTTTTATGGTCGTATTAGGTTAAATGGATTGATTTAATATGAATTAACTTGAATAATTTATGCGATTTCTATATTCTGCAAATAATAGTTATCAAGGAATATTTTTAAAATAAATAAACTTTTAACAAATAAAAATTCATGAAACCAATTAATATGAAGTTTTTATTATTTAAAAAAAATATGTATTATGCTTGATATGATTTCTCAGGAGTTACTTTTGATAGATCAACATACAAAGTTTGTATTGTCAGAAACCTTTACAGAACAACCCTTGATTAATTTAAAATAAATTTAACCGTCTTAATGAATGATAAGTAAGCAGATCCATAGTCATAGTTTATTTTAGAGAGATTAGGCTCTTTTACCGTACTTATTTACGTGTGCATTCTTTAATTAGCTTACAAATTCTATTTAATTTATTTGTTTTTGTGGAGAATATTTTTAATTTACGAAGAACTTATTTACTGTAAAATGTGCTTTCCTGAAATGGATGGTATTCATGTTAGTATATGAAAAGAAAAATAATTCGAACTTAATATAAAAACTGCAATTAATCGGTTGACGACAAGTAATTTGATAGAAAGTAAACTAAAATATTTAAAAAATGCATAAAAGAGAATCGACAAATACATTTCATTCTCTTGTATCAAATACATATATTGTCTCATTATAAACAATAAACAAATTGTTTTTATTTTTTCCTATCAACTTCATATCAATCAATCGCTATTATCTATGCTTGTTCTTAGATATCAGACGATGACCGTATGTCATTGACAACTGCTATCAGTGATGAAGATGACGGAGAGAGTACACAGAATTCGCCATACCGTGGTAAGCAAACAGGGACTGCAGCAGCCTCGTTCAATTGTACAGGAGCTGTCAGAAAAGCAGGGTAAGTGGACATTAGAATGTAAATTATTCACCTTTATCTGCTAACTACCGTTAAATATAAATAAAAATAGGTAATCCTACCTTTAAATAAACGCAAGCAAACAATCACGTCTGCTTTCCTAGGAGTATCTTAAATAAAACGGTTGTCTTTTATTATCTCAATGCTTATAAAGTTCCGATTCTAAGCCTAAAAATATGTTTATATTTATTATTTAGGTGATGGACGTTTTATTTTATTTTCAATTTTCATTACTCATAAAAATTGATTCACAAGAATCAGTATTATTCCAACGTACAGTTAAATTTAATTTTTTTATTCAATTTATAATTTACATATGTTCAATTATTTAATAATTTATTCCACAAAGTATATAGATTTTTTATAAATAATAATTAATATGTTAATTAAATTTGTTCAATAAACACGAAGAAAACGTGTATGCTTAACTGAGTATTATAACCATTTAGTATTCATATGGGAATATGATATGCACTTAAGTAAAAAAAAAAATATTAAATTGTAACTATGGAAATTCAATGACGCCATTGTTGTCATAGTAACTTAAACACGATTTGTAAATATGCAGAGTTGATGTACATTTTTATAGAATACAAAGAATTTTAACATCCTTCCTGAATAAATAGCGAACATGTAAATTCATGTTGTTAAACATAAATAAACATATGAGATCATTTGTATATATTAAACTAAATTTTCCTGTGGGATTATAGTTAAATGAACATTAAAATAAAACTTGATCAGAAAATACATTTGGAAGTTAAAATTTGCCACATGCTCTTAACATAAAATTTCTTCGTGTAGATTTCATTAAGTCGTTTAATATTATGTTGCAATTAAATTTATTTTTTTTATTGCTTCCATAAGTGTATTCAGACCTCAAAAAACTGCAGAACATTATGCTTAATACAACAAATAATTACTTAAAATATATTATAGATCTTATCTCTAAAAATATCCTACGGAAATAAAACATATGTCACAAATATCGGGTTTTAATAATCTATTTAATCATTATTTTTCAACTATAAAATAATTAAAAGTTAAACAATTTTTTTAATTATAGCTTAAGAATTCTATTTATTTTTATATTAAAAGAAATTTTTGTATTTTTAATGTTTTATATTTTACAATTTATGCACAGCTATTATTTTTTTTACTTTACATTTTCCTGTAAACTACTATTATGCCAAAAGTTAAATGTTACAGAAGAAAATAATATTAAACTTTGGATTTCATCCAAACATGGATTATTTTCTTATATAAAACGTCAATAACTGAAATAAATAGAACTTCTGTCATAATTAATATTGTATAAAAGAATATAATATCTTTACATTTTGATGAAAATTTTAAAGCTTTAAAGGATCATATTTCATGAAATATGTGTATACTATTAATAGAATTTCGAATTTAAAATCTTTAAGAAAATATTGAAAAATATTTTCTTAAAACAGAAATGAATTTAAAGGTATAATTTGTAAAATAAAAAAATGTTTAAAATTGAATCACATTTTTTAAAAGAAATCCCTAATTACGCCACAGAATATAAACATTATCAAGTAATTTATTCAAAACTCCAAAATCTAATTGAAAAGTTCAATTCGTTCTTCGAGAGAGAATATTTCACTATTTTCTTCTAAACGATAACGATATATTTTTGCCGCGTAATTTTTTTTTTTTTTGGAGAGAACAATCTTAGTTATATTCTTGTTTATAAACGAATCTATTATTTGATATAGACGTTTAGTATGAGTTTGTAAAATAAAATGTTCAATGAAAATTTGAGTTCATCCAAATTTTAGTTATAATTAAATATGTATTTGAATGTAAACATAATGAAGCTAGTGTTATGTTTTTATTTATTTATTTATTCTCAAATATTTATCTATTTTTTGTAGGGATTCTATCATTTTGATTAAATATTATGATACATCTGTGACAATGACGGGCCATTGTAAAATTAATAATTATCTTTTTAATATTGAATACTAATTGAACTTTTAGTGACTGAGGTGTTTACTTCTGATCATTTGAAAGGAGTTAAATTAATTATTAATCATACCAATGACACTGTATGTAGCTCCAGAATTATAAATTTTGATTTGTTTTGGCAATTTTCCTATTAGTTATAGAATTTTTTCAATCTCTTCACAGTTTTTATTTTATATAGATGTATAATCTAAACATATATTATGAATCGGTTGGCTCTAGCTTAAAGTGAAAAAAATTTTACAGTTTGTTGTTATAAAGTTTTTTAATTCACTTAAAATACTTATAATATATATAAATTTATGTACACTTAAAATTAAAAATTACCTAGAACGAAAATGTTGATTTAACTGTTGTTAGTACAGTGGCGTATACAGAAATTTAATTTGGGGGGGTTTAAAATTTAAAGAAAATTAGATGTGACACTGCCCATATTGTTCGCTCAAAAACATTCTTGTTTTCGATTACTTTATTATGAAAATATTTATATTATGATATGATCATTTTTATTGTTATTAATTATTGTTTATCGTCCAAAATTGTCGCTTAGCTTATAAATTTTGAGGGGAGTTNTTAAAATACTTATAATATATATAAATTTATGTACACTTAAAATTAAAAATTACCTAGAACGAAAATGTTGATTTAACTGTTGTTAGTACAGTGGCGTATACAGAAATTTAATTTGGGGGGGTTTAAAATTTAAAGAAAATTAGATGTGACACTGCCCATATTGTTCGCTCAAAAAAATTCTTGTTTTCGATTACTTTATTGTGAAAATATTTATATTATGATATGATCATTTTTATTGTTATTAATTATTGTTTGTCGTCCAAAATTGTCGCTTAGCTTATAAATTTTGAGGGGAGTTTCAACCCCCCCCTTACGTACGCCAGTGTGTTTTAGTGTATATTAAAATACTAGAGAAAAAAAATTTTTAGAAAGTTTTACAAAAATCATAGGTAATTTGTTTATTCTTAATTACTTATGTTTTTGTTTATTAAAGAAATAAAGATACAGCTTAGCATTTGTGGTCGGGTAAAATAAAAACTATTGTGAAGCTGGTAAAGTTCTTGGGATAGAATGGGGTCAAAGTAATAATGTAGTTTGTTAATAGTACTCGGTTGCTCATAAATAACGGGTAAGACGCCAGTGTCGGTAAAAATGGACGATTTAGTATAAGGTACGTTTATTTTCCTTTTTCAGTTGGAACTCCACCAACTTTAAAACACATTTAAAATTTTATGCATGTGGCGTTAATTAAACAATTATTAATCACTAACATTAAAACATTTCTGTAGTCGATTTATTACACTGTAAAAGTGCATTTGTAAAATGCAACAAATAATAACATAGAGTTTATAATAGTTCATTCCAGAAAGTTATTTACTATTTTACATGATTTTACGTAAATAAATTTTAAATTTTCATCTAAAGCATATTATTTATAGTAAATTATAGTAAACATTTTAAAAAATTATACAGTAACTAAATAAGTTCAACGAATAATATACGAAACTATTCAAATATTATTATTGAGAATAATATAATAGCAACAGGCTTATTAAAGTATTTAAATACTCTTTTCGTATTATTTAAACTTTTTGAATATTTTTAGATGAATGAATTTTGAATAACTTTTAAAAACTTTTGGAAAATATTTATATTAAGAATATTAAATACATTTTAATGTAGTATTCATTGACTATACTAGTTTAACCTTCCTTTATTTATCTATTTATTATAAAAATTTAACGGTCCAAAGACATTTTACAATAGGTATAGGAAAATAATTTACGACAAACAAATTTAATCATACAATAGTAAAAATTTCAAGTTAATAAAAGAAAAAAACGGCGGGAAGGGCAAGGGAGAAGTTGCCCCTTGGTCAAAATACGAGGTGTGCAAAAGTATCATTATGCTCCCCCAATAGAATCTGACAAAAAAATTTACAATGAATCTGAAAATTAATGTAATACTACCATACTTAATTATTTAGCTGTTCAGATTTTAGAATTAAAAAGTGTTAATAAATTTTCCCTAACTTCAGTTGAATATCAAAAAACGGTAGCACAGTGTAGTTGTGGGACGGTATGGATGTGGCATAGTTGTGAAAAGTATAGATGATATTTGACAGTAATTAAAATCACTATCATAAGAAACGTTTCGATGTAAATATGTAGATAGTGTTTAATTTTAAGAAATTGGTGGATTATTCCTAAAGCAAAATGAACTCCTATTTTTTCTTCTACTTAGACTGCCATTTGTAGATAAAAATAGGTCGTCGGGAAAATTTTTTTTTTATCTTATTGTTCATAGTTTAAGCTTCAATTACCGAAACATTTTCAAAAGTTAAGCTGAAAAAGTTGAATTTTGTAAAAAAGTTGCTATTTTGAAACCCCTCTTGTGGGCAGATAAAGGATCAGATTTTAAAAAATATTCTATCAAATAAAAAAGAAAATGGTTTCTATATAAAAAAAAATTATTTTGATTTGTTCATTTTTCAATAAGCTATGACAATTTTTCGAAAAAATATTTTGAAATTTACCGATTTTAATAATCGTAATTTTTAGGGGATTTTCACCATTTACGGGGAACGAGGGAAAATGTTTCAATTTTTTAGGCTAATATCTTCAATTAGATATGATTTATGATCTTTTGACGTAAATACGTAAATGAATACATCATAGTAAAATTAATATGTTTTCAGCTTCGCATCGAAGATAATAATATGTATTATTAAGAGTAAAATTTATAAATTACCGAATATTTTTTATATGATCACTAAAATTCACCAAAAAATAGCTTAAACCGCTTTTTAGCTTAATAACAATCAAGGTGAGTCATTAAATTTTTCTCCCCGTGTAAAAAATAGTTTCGGCGACCCTGGGCCAACTAGTTATTTGTAGTCATTGTTGAAATCGCCAATGAAACACTTCTCTTGTTGTACATAAGCAAATTGACAATGTCTTCTGAATTCTGAATTCTAAATTTCTTTTAGTCAGATATGGAAAATTATGTGGTATTCAACTTACGCATTGCTATGTTAAGTTATACGGTCCAATTACTACGACAGTCGGCAAATAGTATTCATATTTAATTCAGACAGAGATGCATAATACCAATGGCATGTTTTCTGGAGCCTATCTGTCAATTTCATATTTCCATAAAGCTTTGCAGTTATCAAAACCAGTGACGCGGTAAAGCGTAAAATCGAATTTTTTTTGTATTTCATTAATGTATATTGCGTATCATAGCCTATAGGTCATTTTTCCAAACGCTAGAGACGATGTGTTAGATTATTTGCCATCAATTCCATCGCATTGCTGTACACATCAATAATAGTATAGCATGTTGACATTATTTCCTAACGATAAATAGCAATGACTCATATTTTCTTACATCTTATACAAACATAATAAGACTTTTTTCTAACTATGATGTAAGCTTAGAATTCACTAACAGAAAACAGTTTTCCACTAAAGGGTCTATGCATAAAATGAGACTTATAGAAGTTATCTTCATTGTACATATATATTTTTATTTCAAGTCATGACGTTTGTAAACCGATTTTATGTTAGAGGTTTTTACATCATCATACCTCAATAAAATACAACTGTAACATTTTTCTTTATATATTTTTAATCTTGACACAATAATATATTGCGGTTAAAAAACATTTCGATCAGTATTGTTTTAAGTTTGTTGACAACTTGACCTATAGCCATTAAAATAAAAATTCATAACACTTATGGATTCATTTCTCAATAGTTGCCTGCACTCTTTGGCTCTATGCCACCTTTATTACAATACTGAATAACAATGTAGATACTTGAAAAATAGAGTATAATAATACTTAAAGTTCTATAGTAAAATGTTTATTATAACGGTCACTGGTTTAACTTGTGAAAAAACTTTTCAAACGCAGTTAATAGTTATAAAAGACTTATAAAAAAAAACCTGACATGAAAATATCCTTTTTATCATAATAGAGTTTTTAAGTTTTTTATTATTTCCATATTTTTATTGTTTCTAATACAATTATTTCTTTAGAGGTTTATGAATAATAATTTACATATTTTTTTACAGGTTTTTGAGTGTTAAAAAATGGCTACTTCGTAAAAAACACCAGATTGAACTCGCTAGGAAACGAGGCTGGAAAGGATATTGGGTATGTCTTAAAGGCACTACGTTACTATTCTATCCATGCGATTCCAGAGAGGGTCGTAGTGTTGAAGCAGCTCCGAAACATCTTATTATTGTAGATGGAGCAATTATGCAGCCTATTCCAGAACACCCTAAAAGAGATTATATATTTTGTTTAAGTACAGCTTTTGGCGATGCTTACTTATTTCAGGTAATTTTTAAATTATTATGGCTATTATTGGCAAATATAAAAATAAACATTTTGAAATTACGTATACTTTTCTTGGAAAATGTTCAATAAGACAATTTTACAGTCCATTTAACTAGTAGTTAATACTTAAACTGTTCTTTTTACACGAAATGTTATTTTATTGTTTTTAGGCGCCTTGTCAAGTTGAATTAGAGAATTGGGTGAACAGTATACATTCAGCATGTGGAGCAGCTTTTGCTAGACACAGAGGCAAAATAGGAACATTGCACTTATTACAAGAAGAAGTTTATAGAATCGAAAAACAAATAGAGGCTGTAAATATTTCTTTATTTAAGATTTTTCAACAAAATAATTTTTCATATGTCATTTTGGATACAATTTGTTATTTTAGGATCAAAAACTGAAACATATGGCTGAGGTACAAGTTGAAATGTTAGCAGATCCAGACACAAAAGAACAAATTAAAAAACAAATTTTAACTTGGGAAGAAAATTTAGAACGATTGCATTGTGAACAATTTAGACTTAAATGTTACATGGCTAGCTTACAAAACGGAGAACTTCCCAATCCAAAAGTACAAATGATACTAAAAACTAATTTTACTTAAAACTTTGCATTATTTTAATTTTTTCAGATTCTATTAACTCGAGTATCAAAGGCTACTAAAATAACTTTAAATAAGTTGGGTGTATTTACTGTATCTTCTTTGCATGCTTTTATTTGCGCTCGTTCGCCATCTTTGCTCAACAATCTATTGGCTGGACGAGGTGCTACAAAACGAAAGGCTCCGGTATTGTCTCGGTCTAATAGTAGTTCTGGAAGAAGATCATTACAATCGTCAATTTCTAGAGAAGACCAAGACAGAACTGTTAAAGTGTCATTACCTGATAATCAAGTAAGTTTTGTTACCAACTTACAGGTTAATTATTATAAAAAGTCTTTTTTTTTCAAATAATGAAATAAATTAGTATTTTTATTACTCTAAAGTAAGTGATCAGTTTAACATCATTATATTTCCGAACTTAACATGCTATAGATGATGGTAGCCCTTTTTTATATGTTAGGGGGTCAAAGATGATTTTTGGTTAGGCTAATGATAGACGAGACGGGTATTATATATTATTTTTTTGTGAAAAAATGTATTTGTAAATGGCTAATTTTGTTCACTCATTATAATTAAATATTATGATATGGAATTGCAAAATTACTATATTCATTATTTTGTTATTTTGATTAAAGAGTCATTTATTTATTTATTTGCTTATTAAAATTTACATAATAACCTGAACTCTTAACCCAGTAATAAATAAAATTACCTTATTAATTTTCATTTTATTTTAGTTCATTACTCAATAAATTTAAATAAAATCTCGCTACTATTACTTAAATTTTATTTTTTGACATTTTTTCTAGCAAAAAGTAAAAATTGTTTATAATTTCTAGACAGAAAAAAGCGCACTTTTATAATTATAATTATAATTTTTAAAAAGAATTTTTAATTTGTAGTCTGTTCAGATTTATTTGCGTGATGGCATGACGGTTGATGAATATTTAGCATTATCTTGTTCAAGGAAGGGACTGAATCCAATGGAACATTTTGTTAGGGTAAAAAAGAGGAGAGATATGGAAGACCATAATTACTTTGTACCTCATCGAACTGATAGCATTGAAACTTATGTAAGTTTTTTATATATTTTGGAACTGATTATTTAAACTTATAACTGATTCATTATGCGCAAAAAAAAAAAATAATAATAAAAATACATATTTGCAATTAATATTTGTTTAGCTCCACACGCACGAAGTTGTCGAAGTTCGAGCGAAAATTTTATATCAAGTAGAGCTTGAAAGAAATACATTAGATCAAATGTGGGGATTTTCAGTAGAAGCTGAGTTGATAGAAAACTCTGAACGTCAAGATGAACTTTGTTGTTATGTTAGCCGTGTCGAAGATAAAGGAATAGCTATTCAAAATGGTAACTTATTATTTATAACAATATATTGAAATTTTATTCCAACATTAATTAATTATTTTAAATTTCAATAATTTTTTTTTAAATATTGTATTAATGATCACAGGGCTAATTAAAGGTGATGAAATAATGGTAATCAATAGCGCGATTGTAAGTGATTTAGACATGATGTACTTGGAGTCAGCTCTTCAAGAAGAATTGTCTTTGAGTATGATGATGAGATCTTCTCGAACTGAAGCTCCTCAATTGCCTCCGGGTTCAAGGGTTGTATCAAAAACTACTGATGATATAATACAATCGTTAGTTTGCCCCCCACCTCCTACAGATCCACCAGGTATCTCTGAAGAGATGATTTCGGGACTAATTGTGCCAGCTCCAGGGTGGAGTAAGTGATCAAATTTCTGTTTTTATAATAAAATTTTATACGAGTATAGTTTAATTAAAAAAAATCTTGCACTATTATAATTAGATAAGGATAGCCATCACGAAATGGACATGAGCACTATTATGTCTGACGCTAAGCATACTTCAAGAGGAAATTCTTTCGAAATCGAAAACTTAATCAAGGTATTTTTGTTTAAATTTTTCTTAAAAATAAATATGTTCAAAAATTTCAAAATTCATTTTAGAGCGCTGGAGAAGTTACTGGATTTTGTAGATCTCCTGAACCAGCTAGAAGAGTTAGCCCAACTATTATTTCTGCATCGCAGAATCCCATGTTAACCATTGGTCGCCAGTTGACAGACGCAGAAAAACTAAGAAAAGTTATATGTGAACTTATAGACACAGAAAAATCTTATATTAAAGTATGTATTGAAAGTAATAGAATGTAGGGATTTAGAAATAAAACTACATGTATTTTAAATTATATAAAGAAACTGTAAAAGATTTCAATTAATTGTAAGTATTTCCAAAGACTCAATGATGAGTCTCCTTTTGAAATATTTATTTTTAAAATTAAATACTTTGAAACAAAAATAGACTGGATCTATCCTGTTAGTTGTTTTCAGAAATAATTGATTCTAAAATTTTATATTTAAAATCTCATGATATCAAATTGTATAAAAATAAACATTTATGGTATCAAGTTGATCTAATGTGTTGTTCAACAGTAGCATTATAAGCCAGTTATCTTTGTCTTGAAATTAACTTAGCATCAAATTCTTTAGAGCTTTTATTAATCGAATTGTAATGTTAGCTAATAACTACCAAATACTACTGAAGTATCATGAACATATTTTCTATTTTTAGCATTTAAATAACTTACTGGAAAATTACTTAGAACCGCTTAAACAAGAAACTTTTTTAAGTGGTGTGGAAATTGCCGTTTTATTTGGTAACATTCAAGAAATTGTACAGTTTCAACATCAGTTTTTGCAAAATCTTGAAGGAGCTGTTCATCAAGAACACAATTTTTACAAATTTGATCAACCAGAACAATTTAAGGTAAAATATCAGAAGAATCAGGAAAATTAAATTCTAAACTATATTATTTCAACTATAGAATATACACTTATTAAAATTTTCAAATTTCAGAATATTCTTTTTTCTATCGGGAGTGCCTTTTTGTATTATGTAAATCATTTTAAATTATACAGTTCATTCTGTGCTAGTCATTCGAAAGCTCAAAAAATTCTCAACCCTAGTAAGAATTTACAAATAATTTAAAATCGCTTAAAAATAATTAATATAACTTTTTCCATTTCTTTTTAAGATGAAGGTAATCAAGCTCTTCAAGAATTTTTGTGTTCAAGGAATCCTCGCCAACAACATTCTTGTTCATTAGAATCGTACTTGATAAAACCTATACAAAGGATATTAAAATATCCGTTGCTATTGCAACAATTAAGAAATCTTACAGATCCGAATTCGGATCAACATCTTCATTTAGTTGGTTAGTAACAATATATCAATAATTACCATTATAATTAGAAAAATTAAGTCACTTATTAAATTAATTTATAGAGGCACTTAAAGGTATGGAAAATGTCGCTGAACATATTAACGAAATGCAGCGAATACACGAAGAATATGGAGCAATATTTGATCATTTATTCCGACAGCATCAAAAATCTTCTAAACAGGTAAGCTTTCATAATAGCTGTTACAATCGTATAAAATACTTTTTATACATATATAAATAACTTAAAACGTTTTAAAAAAATTTTAGTCTATTGATTTGTCACCTGGCGATTTACTTTACTATGGTGGAGTAGAATGGTTAAACATTTCTGATTTTCTTGGTAAAATCAAAAAAGGTCTAGAACTGCACGCAATGTGTTTTGTTTTTAAGTCAGCAGTAGTGTTTCTATGTAAAGAGCGTTTAAGGCAAAAGAAAAAACTTATGGTTAGTATAGTGAACAGTTATTATAATCAATATATAAAGATACATAGAATTAAAGCCGTAAAATCTACTAATTATTCTAACTACGCGCACTTTGTAGAGCGTGGCTGGCAAAAGTGATATGGAAATTATCAGATATCAAGTGTTAATTCCTGTTACTGAAGTTCAAGTCAGGGCAAGTTCAGCTAAAGATATGGAAACGCATTTCTTGTGGGAGCTAATTCATTTAAGAAGCCAGTCCCATAGGAGAGCCGAAAAAATTTACGTTTTATCAAACAGGTAAAATTTTTAAATAGCAATTACATTTTTCAAAAATTGGTTTATACACCATTAATAATATTTAAACTATTCTCAGTACTGCAGATTTTAGAAACGCATTTTTAAAGACTATACGCCAAATAATCCGTGAAAGTGTTCGTAATATGAGTATTCCCACTGCCAAACCTTCAACCAATTCACCTGCTCAACTAGTTAGCAATACTGCAACATTAGGAAGACAAACAATTAGTACTGGAAGTATGTAATAAATTTTATATAATTAGTAATTTGAAATATAATGTTACGCTCTTTTATATGCCTACATTTATTTAGTAAATTTTAACAATGAACTAATGTAATTACTAGGCTCCCAAATTAAAGCGGAGAATTCAAAACCTCCCGGTTTACCAAATGTGCCACAAGGATCTCAAACATTAGGTAAACCCAAAAAAATTCCACCAAAACCTCCACAGCGACATTCTTCAGGTAGTACATTAACTAAAGTAGAGTTAAAAAATCAAGGTACATCATCGACTGATTCCACAACAGATACTGGAGTGACACAAACAGTTTTGCCAAATCAAAGAACCAAGAGTAGAGGTAATATAATGCTAAGCGTTAAAAAAAAAATTAATGGCTAATTATTTTTAGAAGATAAAAAAGATGATCCAAAATCTGAGGCCGAAGATGACAGCACCAGTCAGCCAGGAACATCTAAAGGATTACAACCTCGTGGAAGTCTGGGAAAGACACCTAACTATTTGATGCTGAGTACAACGTCGACATTATCAGCTAGCAGTACAGGTAGTCAAGCGGCTAGACTAGTGGAAAGGTCACAGCAGCCGGAAAACTATCAGCCACCTCAAGTGCAAGACCTCGGTAAGAAGGATCTGCACCAGGATTACTAAAAAAAAAAAACGTGCTTCTCACTGAAAATAGGAGGTTAGACCCGTTATAGTGTTAGACCAAGCCAAGGGTCAAATTTATTAGAGTGAATTTTATTCTTATAATTAATATTCACTCCGCTATATCTGCTATGACTTGGAGAATTTCTAATAATTTAAGCACTGAAACATTTTTTATGAAAATTCTTTTTCAAATTTTTTTTTAATAATATTTTTAATTTTTGTATAGGTTCCCCAGTATGGAAACCTAGAGAGTTAGGAGAATCTTCGACATTACCACGAAAGAAAAAATCCTCACAGGAAAAATTTGAAACAAGAACTATGGTGAGAAAAGGCGACTCTAAAAAAGATAAAAATAAATAATAAAAAAAGTGGGACAATCAAATAAAAACATACATAGGCATACAAACATAAATTATATAATTAAAAAAAGGTACTAATAATAGTCCTATTTTTATTGCGTAAATGACTACGTTATTCTAAATGACAACAAAAGGTTTGGGTATGAACACAGACCTTCATCAGGCCGATGAAACAATAAGGTGTTTCAAATCAAATTAGTTTAATTCTTAAATTTTCATTACCACATTGGTATGTTCCTATATTATTCATTGCTCGAAAATTAGATTTTATTTCGTCATTTCGTTGTTTTGTATAATTTAATATAATGGCTGAACAAATAATACTCAAAAATAAAAACTATTGAATGAAGAAAGACAAACACATCGACCAAAATTATTAAAATTTAGTAAAATCTTATCATTTTTTTAAATTTTCAAGAAAATTAAAAATCTACAAGAATGGTTATGGTGCGTATATGAATACGAGTCATTCTTGCATCGTGATATGAATCATAAATAATTTTTTGTTAGAATGAAGTCTTATTTATTACATTTAAATAAGATATTAAATTTATTGCAGTCGACATTCATTTATTGTTCGTATTTAAGCTCAAATGTTATTTTCTTCAACACAGTCATTAATTTCCTCTTTAATTATAAACAGTTGAATAGTTAAACAAAAGCTTTTTAAAATGCCTCAATTTGATCTCATTAGTTATATATTGATGGTATACGTTTAGAATAGAATTAAAAAATGAAACCATATGTAATATACCATTATAGTATTAACAGCAATTCATAATGGGTTTATTTGTTAGTAGCATCAAAAACACTGAATAACATAATTGTATACTGTAATATGTAGTTAGATTGTGTGCGTACAAACGTGTTATTAAGAAAAATAACATTAATTACACGCATATTGAGACGAATAAAAATTAAATCGCACAGTATAAGTTTAGATGAGAAAAATCTGAGAGCAATGACTAAAATTACGATTGAAAAATAACGTTAATTTTAACCTATTACTTTTATTGTTTTTATTTGTTTATAAAATATTGTTATATTTTGATCTTTAAATAATATTTCACACGCATTATTTTGAATCTTTGAAATTACACTAGTATAAGTACATCGGAATATTAAAACTACTATGTTAAAATTTAAATAAATTTTATATAATTAATATTTGACAAACAATATGGTGTACTTAATGTTATGTTAATATTTCTATCTTATAAGCTTTTGGACTTGACGAAATCGACCGCCTAAAAGTTTAATTAAATATAATTCAAGTAAACGCCAAATCACATGATTATTAATAAAAATTATTAACATACTTTCTAAATAATTTTAGATAAAACATTAAAATCCTTAACAAAAAAAAAAAATTGTTGTAAAATGTCGTGCTCATGTAGGTGTACCTTAGAAATTATAGAGTAAGTTTTTGAATTTAATTATAAAAAACCACCCAATTATGTTTTAAATTTAGTACAATCGTTATCATAACAATATTATTATATTAAATGAATTAACTGAAAAATTTGTTTCGTTATTACATGTTTATTAACAACTTATATTAAACAATGTAAAACTCTAGACCCACCGCACAACCATACGAATACTATATATATATATTATTAATTAATTTTATTATTTTAGTTCTTCTGTAATAAAAAAATATGTTGAGAAATTATTGTTGTGTTATTGTATTTGTAAATAAAATAAAAAATTATCGTATTTTGTTTCGTACATATTTTGTTGATGATTTATCCACTCCTTTTCCCTTTATGATATCAGTATTTATTTTAGTCTTATATTATCAATATAAGACTAACATATATATTATATGTTTAGCTATTGATGTTATAAAATATAATTAATTGCTGGATGGTGGACATAAGATGGTGCGTGTATAATTGGTTGAGGGTAAGTAACGTGTTGTACGTAGGGTCCTGGCAAGTGTACATAGGCTGGATCGGATGCATAATACACGTGTCTAATCACTGGTTCTGGTTGTTGAATCACGTAGGGTTGCTTGACTACAGTTACGTCAGGAGCTGTCACATGTACCTTTGGAAGGATAACGGGTGTTACATCAGGGGCAGGAGCTGAATATACAGCAGCAACCAAAAGCAAGATCACCTATAAGCGAGGAAAATGTAATTGACACATTATTTATGTACTTCGAGTGAAAATTATAACAAAATATATTTAATTCCTAGTCAAATTAGTAAAATGTATTAAAATATGATTCTAAACAAATAAATTAAATTACTGATTCAGTTATCACAACAAACACGTGAATAGAAAATGCACATTGGACGCTCTTATGCTTCTAACCGATGTAACATAATTTTAATAGATCAATTTTAACGATTTTAGGTCATCAAATAATGGATACTAGTTTTAATAACATTACCTGCAAGTACCGGCAAGGTGTTAAAAAAATCTTCGTAAACCACTCCAAAATCGAGCTGATAAAAAAACTTTAGCCAATTAAATATAAACTTTCAAACTTATGTTAAAAACTAATAATGCCAACATTTCATAGGTTTAACATAAGATTAGATCGTTTATTACCAATTAATTGGCTTTAAAAATTACTCAATGCGGACTTGCTCGTTATTTACTAAATATTTTAATGGTAATACATTATCGTGAATATTTTTTTATCAGAGACTCTAGAGTGAGATTTTTAACATTGGCAGGATCGCACTAAGGTGTACACTGGGTGAATATGAGTGGTATGTATTAAGGGTAGCATTGAAATATGAATTTTGAGGTAGAAACATTTATTTTTTGTCCAATCAAATAAATAAAAATAACGTTGTAGAGAAAAATTTGTTTGATATTCAAAATAAAAAAGTTATTAGGGGCAAAACTATATACCCCGTACGAAAACATTCCTAAATGAGGCTCTGCACCTTGGAAATTCTAAACATTTTTAAAGTGTTTATAATTTGACCTATTAGTTCCTAATATATTTCGTAAAATGGAGATAAACTAAAAGAGTTATAAGAATCAAAAATTAATGAAAATATTGAAAAGAATCCTTGGAGTTGTCTGGGGGTCTGTCAATTTATATAAATAATAATATTGAACTTTATATGAAATTAAATCAAAACTCTAAAAATAAATACAATGTTGAAAATACGTTTTTGGTTATTTTATTTTTACATTTATTTTATAAGTAATTGAGTGAATTATGATAATAGAATTCCTGTAATATATTCCAGATATTTTTTTAATACCCTTTAAGCCTTGTACTTTATACAAATGTTTTTATATATTATGTACAGTATAAATATATTTTTATATAAAATTAATAAATGTATCTAATTAAAAGACTATTTCACATTTTTTTTTAAATATTTTAGTTAGAATACAAATATATATACCATCTAGTTAAATATATGAGAATTTATATATTATATAGTGTGTACAAATTAGAGCTTAAATTCTATAAACTTAACTGTTTTTAATATGAGTTAAAATAATTCCTAAAATTAAGTACTTACTAAGAGTTTCATTTTTAATTTCAAAGCTTCGTCTGCTTTCACTTCAAGATGATATTATATTAGAATATTAATCAGAAGTATTTTTCTTTTATACTAAATACATACATATAAGTTTACTGTAACCTTTTAGCCACGCCTTTTTCACAGCAGTATCCTGGCAATGAACTCTGAGTATTTTTAATTATAAGTGCATTAGAAGATATTTGATGACTAGTGAGATTTATCTAAAATAGAAATGGATCAGTTCATGGTATTGTTACAACGACATAAATAAATTAATAATAGCATAAAACAATGAATTCAATTGTTTTATCTTAATTAAAATATCGAAATGTATTCAAATGGACTTGTAATCAGACATTAATTTATGATCAAAATAAAAATCTGCAGAAAATAGTTCTTAATTCAAGTCTTACATATCAGTTACTATGTACGGTAGTTCATCTTATTTTCATAGATAGAAAATTGTAAAAATAACAGATAGAAAATAAATTATAGTTACTTTCCCGTAGCAAGTATTTTTATTTTTATCGGTTTATTAAAAAGTTAATCTAAAATTATTTGGATAAAATAACAAAAACCATATGTACATAACTCACATTCGTAACTTACATTCCGCTAAAATTGCCGTTTTATTTTAATTTTTACGGTAAGTTTAGTAATATTTTGTTTAAAATAATGTTTTTTTTGTTTCAGTTCCCACTCTTTGAATTTACTTAAACAGCTTTTGAAAGATTTTAAATTCATATCAGACACTAATCTAATATCTCATCGCATATAGTCTTCAATATAAATGGTACTTTTTTGCAACTATATTATATAAAATATTATTTTTTTTTAAATATCTAATACCTAAATGGTCGAAACCAAGTAAGATTGACAGCTGACAGTTGTTAATATTGCCATCATTAACGTTTTGATGCGAATATGTAGAAGTATTGATGTCAATAGTCGTGTATTAGAAGGTGCGGAAAGTGGACAATGATTACGGGCAGCATATTATAGGGGGCACATCTTAAGTGTAAATGACCTTTTTTACCTAATAAATGGCGATTCTAAAATTTAAATCTGAAATTTTACAGGCTTTCAGAGACAATTATTATAAATATTTTATACCCAGGGCAACAAAAACTTAAATACACCTTTGGATATTGAGATAGTTGAGTTCTAAGCTCTTTTGCTAATTATAAACAAAATTAAGTTGAATTTACATCATTAATATAAAACAAGGTGCGCCTCACCATAATTTACTAATTTGACTATATAAATTAATAAATCACGTGTGACACCTATAGACCACAGAATAGACTAGACATTTTGTGTATACACTACCATACGCAAATCTCAAAAAAGAGTGATGGTTTTATCAAATTTCAAATTGTTTCTTTTTGAATAACAGCAGTTTGACCGACAGTGTACGATACGTAGTTATTAAAGTATAATTATTTAAAAAAATCAATGACTTCTGGATCAAATATAATCTAAGATTTATTTTTTAAACGAAACTCAAATAAGTATATATTGTGATGTAGATAACACTTCATATTTTCTATATTTAGAAATTACATAATCCAAAAAATGTTATAACCTATCATGAGGTCATTTTTTAATTTTCACAATTTTTTTGAATTGTCATACACAGATTATGATAATATATCAGGTCATGTGTTAAGGGTGTCATGGATATACACCCCAAGTAAAACTAAGGAAAAATATATGCCATCTATATTAGAGTTAGAACTTGTAAATTTTATTTTTTATCTTGTGATGAGCAAAAATAAATTACCAAGGTTAACAATATTTTTTCATAGAATTGCAGAATTTGGTATCAAGTTCGAAAGGTTGTCCAAGATTCAAACATAAGAAAATAAAAGATCATACCCTACTAAAAGCTAACAAAGTATGCTAATCTAATAGATAATGAAATATTAAAAGTTCATTTAATTTATTTAAGCATACATTTCTAAATAAAAAAACAAGTAATAACTTTTATTATATATTCTAAATTGACAGTTATTATACAATTATATTTATTATTTTACACTTTGTTGAGTAGTTAACAAATGTTCATTCATAGACATTTGATACTCTTGAAAACGTTGAGTCATTCTCTCAGATGCTTTCAGAAATTTATTGGTACAATTTTGAGCACATTTTTCCTAAAAAAAATTTTTAAATGCCATAAATTTATTAACAAAAAATAAATTTATACTATTCGACATAAAAATATTAAAAAAATCCAAATTTAAATAATTTTTTGTTTGAAAAATAAATAACTTCTTGTTATCTTAAAATGAGATAGTAAGATGGTTATTCTATAGACCTAGAAAAATAATTAATTTATTCATTATGAGTGGATCATTACTCTTAGTGTAGAATAATAGTTTTATAATTTTTGTATGAAACAGTTGCAAAATTATATCAAAATATATATTTAGCGTACTAGTATAATATCTTTAGATAAATTATGAATAGAAGCATATATTGACATGTAAAAGAAAAAATGTTAAAACAAGGAAAAAGAAAAAATTCAATTTTTCAGTAGATATAAAAAACTATTTTAAATTATAATGTCATAAATTATAATGACAAATTATAATGTTAAGTTTAATATTATTTATCATTTTATTCATTATTGTTATCATAAAAGAATTTTTTTATATAAAAAATAATTATTTTTATGCATTCAGAAATATAAAAAGCTCAGATTTGCCAATTTTGCACATAGGAGATTTGTGTTCATGAATGAAAATATATAATAAGTATAAAACTATAAGAGAGTGTAAAGTAATACATATTTAATTGGTTTTTATCTTTCAAAAAAAATCTAATTGACTACACATAATTTAATTCTTATTTCATACTATCAAGCGCATTAAATAATTATGTATTTATAAATTCATACCTCATCACTTTTTAGATCCCCTACTGTAAAATCTTTTGCACAATCCATAAAACAAATTTCAGTTAATCGATTGTATGACTTGAATATTTCTTTAATCTAAAAATAACAAAAAGAGTCATACTTAAATAATAACATAATTAGTCATAAAATAATTGATAGAGAATATTTAATAAATTAATAGTATCATTTAACTACTATTAGTTTTATAAAACTAACAGTACTTTTTATTTAATATAAAATTTTAAATATAACCAACAAAGTATAAAATGTAATTACACTAGCTAACTGTGCGCCATCAAATTCCATATTTTCAGTTGATGTAGCTAAATTCTCCATTATTAATTGTTAATGTCTTAAATTTCTTGGATGTAGATCAATTTTACAGTTATCAAGATTACCAGAAAAAATTCTCCTGAAAAAACAATTTTTTTTTATAAAATATAATATATTTAATATGACATCAGTTAAATTCAAAATATTTACTTTAACATTAACAAAAGTTTAACGAAAAATTATTTAAGTTTAATGAAAAATTATAGACAATAATAACTGCATTATTAGTAGTATAATACATGAAATTCCTCTCGTATATGGATGATAATATTATGATACCTTATCACCATTAAATGTAATTAAATATTATTCAATAATGGGAAAACACCTTTGCCACGAACTGATAATGCTCCGACATTTACATACTTCGACATTGGCAAAGTAGTAATTGTTCCGAACATTTGGTACTCCGACCACCTGATGCTAAAACCTTAACTACAAGGAATTTTTCTCCGACATTATCGATAGTCCAAAATTTGTTTTATTTATATACGTATTTTTATTAGAATTATTTACTATCTATATAGTAAGATATAATAAGAAGATAGTTAAAATGTAAAACTTTTTTCTTGACAGTGTTTTTGTATGTTGCTTTTGTTTCGAAATGATCCTCGTTTGAACGACTTTCAGCTTTGGCGAGATCTAATCGATCTTGATAGGGAACAGTATCGATCTGGAACCTTGAAGTCCCGGAGGAAGTTTTCTTTAATGGCCATTAAGATGATTTTCTTAGTGATCTAGCGAGGAAAAAAATTTCAAATTTAATGAGGGCCTCCTGAGCTCGCATTAAATACAGATTTATTATTCTATAAATTCAAAACAAACTTTTAAAAAAAAGTTGAATACTGTTGTTATATGCATATTCTTAGAGAAAAAAAATTAATTTTCATAATAAAATGTATACTATATTTTTAAATTTTATTTATCGTATAAACAACGTCTATCACCTATGAATTGATTAGGAATCATACACATTTTCCATGTATCAACAATATTTTACAATTCATTACGTATAATAAATGTAGTAATTTTTATTATGTTAGGGCATAATTAGGCTTTATTTAAATTCTCAAATAAATACAACACATTTGTAATTTATAAAATGAAAATTCATGTTATCATAAATTAGTTCGTTAAAAAGTTATAGTTATAAATGTATTTACACAAAAGGGTAAATGTTTTTATTTATTACTATGGTTTTGTGAAAATGTAATGCCAGATTTTTTTATATATTGTTTCAATATTTCATTATTATATTTGATTTCTATTTAACAAGAAAAAATGAATACTTATTTAATTACCAATTATGATTACTAATTAAAATATTTAACTGTATATGTATAACTGACAAAACTTCAGGTAATCCTCGTACAAATAAAAAGAAAACCCAGCACAGGGGGGTCGCGGCACAGTGATGCCATGGTATAGTTGGATCAAGTATAATGATATCTGACAGTGATTAAAATCACTATCAAAAATAAACGCTTCGATGCAAATCTTTAGATTGTGTTTAATTTTAAAAAAATTGGTGTATTATTCCAAAAGCTACATGATCTGCTAGTTCCTTATTAATATCTTGATTAAGATAAAGTATGTCGAATGAAAAAGAGATTATTAAAAAATATTATTTCTCATAAAAAAATTTTGTTGATCCATACACTTTTCAATAAGTTATAGCATTATAAAGTTAAAAATATAAAAAATAAAATCGAGAATTTTCACACGATAATAGCATTCGGTAGACATTTTCACCGTGAAGACAAATATAGTCCGACATTTTTTTTTCGCATAATAAAGTAAATTACATTAACTTTAATTTAAGATATAAATAAAAGTGTCAGACTTCCCGAACACTTTCAAATGTTAATTATAAAAGTAAATTTTTTGTGAAAAAGTTGTCATTTTAAATCCCCCCTTGTGGGCAGGTTAAGGATTAAATTTATGAAAAAATATACCAAATGAAAGGTAATGATATTATGCATCTATATAAAAAATAATTATATTCATATGTTTATTTTTGAAAAAGTTACGACAGTTTTTAGTAAAAAAAATTGAAAAAATTTCGATAATTAGCGATTTTTAAATTTGTAATTTTTTTGGAGGTTTCCCACATTTACGGGGAACGAGGGAAATTATTTCAATTTTTAAGGGTAATGTCTTCGACTAGATACGATTTGTGATCTTTTGACGTATCGTTGAAAGAAATCCGTTCGGTGAGAGCTGAGAAAAAGTGGTAACAGACAAAAAAAACACATCATAGTAAAACCAATACCTTCTCAGCTTCGCATCGAAGCTAAAATATCTCAACCATTTTTTACTGAATCGACTGTATTTTTTTAACTTGAGTTGATTATGTTGAAATCTAATTACTCTAACAGAATAGTTAAATATATGTATGTATAATTTTAAACTATTGTCCATTGTTAACTTATAACTATCTCGTGCTCACTTAAATTGACTAGAGTGTAAGCGTAACGTAACAAAATTTTGGAAGCTCTAATTACATTTTTACCTTTTTTAAAAAAATTCTATACAACAAGAATACAAATTATTTTATTTTTGGGGGGCTATGGCAGAATTTTAGGAGACTAAGCCCCTTTAAGTCTCTCCAGTTTGCGACCAATCATAACATTCAATTCAGACTGGATTCAATTATTTTCGTTGACTTGTCCATCTTTATACAATGATTTCATACAATAAAACATCTGTTTAATGCTGGATTTCATCATTAGTGAGACGTCGTCTATATTTTTTACCAATTAATAAATGAGAACACGATAACTAATCGTGTTAGAGATTTTAATAATTTGCGCTAATAAGGAGAAGCAAAAAAGACTAAAAGACCAAAAATTGGAATCGCTCTTCTCTCTCATCCAATAAAAAATAACTTTTTAAGGGCTCACGCCAATTATATAGCTGAAGTTGTTTTAGTTAAAGCCCTCTTACCCTAAAATACCTATTACTACAATAGTCGGGTACACTTCAAGAGCCTTTATTGTAATAATCATTTGTTAATTAATTTAAGATAAATAATGTAAATACAATCTATAATGACAATGTAAATACTATTTTATATTAATTATTTATATTGCAACGATAATCATCTACTGCGAAATTTTATAATATTATTAATTGATTACGTGAATTTTCGATATTCGGAGTAATTATCGTCGTAGTAAAATCCAAATTTTTGTAACCTGGTATTCGTAGTAATTGTTATTGGAGAATTTTTTACTATGTCGGAACATTATCAAATCTTTGCAATCTCCTTAACCTTTTAATAATTCATTATTATTAAGTCTTATATACCAAGGTAAATTTATTGGTCATGACGATTAAATGTGAAATTATTCATAATATTTATAATTTCACATATTATATCTCATTCCTAGACAATTAATCCATACGTCTACAATTTTAAAGAAAATAAATTATTTCAAATACTGAATTTGTAATATAATTCAACTCGATTTCAAAATAAGAGAACACTTTTATATATAGAAAATAATTAGCCAGATTGAGGAATCCAATCTACCAAAAATTTATACTTTTACTATCTTATATATTATAAGTCTACTTAAATTGGATCCATCGGTGTAATGATTGTGGGAGGATGTATAGGTATAAGTCCCCTAAAATAAAATAATTCTAAATATTTTTTTATTAATTTGGACAGGGTAGTGAAATTTTTAACTGTATTATTATGTATTAGTGTTATAGGTAATATCTATTAAAACTTTTTTTTAGAAAAAAATATTTATACTCAATATTAAATGAAAATACTAATGGATTATAAATCCAAGTCAAAATAGGGTAATATAATGAATTAGAGGCTTAACATTTTTTGTATTTTAAGATTGTTTACACTTTTCCAAATTTATATATCTGATATATAATCTAATGTGCTGTTTCTGTTTTAATTTCGATGCAAAGCTGAGAAAGTATTAATTTTATTATGATTTATTTTTTTTTTCAATAAATGTAATCTACTATTTTTAGCAATTTTTGGATTATTCAGGATGTTTTGATTTTATAGTTAAAATTTTACTAATTTTTCTATGTTTCAATTATCAAAAAATGATACCTATAACTGTAATATTTACCAGCTTTGTCAGCTTTTTGAGTAGCAATTATCATTTTTGAAACTATTGATGTGTAATACAATTGTGTCACAATCTTTATTTTTTTCACTCATTTTAAAGATATAAACAATTTTTTACTATGACTTTAAACATTAAATACATAGTTTGTATGGTATATATATAATTATATTTGAACATGTTTCAATTCCAGAAAAAATAAATATAGTTTAAAAAACTAAAAAAACACGCTTTTAAAGCATATCGAACTAAAAAGTTAAAAATAATTTTTAAAATAATTATGAACAAAAAATACTAGTATTATTGTGATAAAAGCGTCGGGCGCTCAATATACGAAAAATATGACACAAAGCACCCTCGCTTTTATCACAATAATACTAGTATTTTTTGTTCATAATTATTTTAAAAATTATTTTTAACTTTTTAGTTCGATGTACTTTAAAAGCGTGTTTTTTTAGTTTTTTAAACTATATTTATTTTTTACTTTTTAGTTTCATGTTATGATAGTAGTTACTATCAATATCATGGTTGTTACGGGTAACGGGAAATCAGGGTTCGATTCTGGGGAGGGAGTCTGAGAAACGGCTACCACATCCAAGGAAAGCAGCAGGCGCGTAAATTACTCACTCCCGGAACGTGGAGGTAGTGACGAAAAATGACGATACGGAAATCATCCCTCGTAATCGGAATGAATACTTTATATCTCTTAATTAAAATAAAGCGTGTTAATAAATAAATTTTAATAGTAATTAGAATATATACAAGTAAAGCGACTTAAGTACGTAAACGTATCATGCACTAGGTATAACCGTATATTGTGGGCGGGCGGGTCGGACTAACGTTATACCTGAGGTATAAACGGTGCTAGGAATATATAAATATATATACGTAAGGCGCATTAGACGCGGGCGGTATTGGTCAGTCAAAATAAAAATTTGTTTATATATATATAATATTGATAACAAGCACGCGTGTAACGGGTACGATAACTAAAAATAAATTTTTATAGGAAATAGTGTGCCGTCGTGTGATGAGAGAGGCGTGGGGAGGGTTGAATGCGTTATGACAGTCTAGTCTAGACGACGGAATATGCGATAACGCGTGGCGTTTGGAGAGTTACATACATACATACATACATACAGGTGAAACTAATATAAGCGTGTTAAAAACTATTAAGATACAGAAACATAATTTTAATAATAATTATTGTTTTTTTAAAAAGCCAATTGTATAGTTCCATAATTTCCAGTAATGAGCCAATTATGTTTATCTTCTTCTAAAATTTTTTTTTCATAGTCTAAAGGTAGACCACTAATACAGTCACACTTCATCGTTCTTAAAGCTACAACTGCTGTTGGTAAAAATTCACATAAAGCTTCTTTGAAATTTGTTGTTGGAACCCAATTAATATCACCAATAAGCTTCCGATAATTAAGATCTCCTATAAAATGAAATATCATATAATATAATTGAATTAATTATTAATACTATGAAAGTAATAATAGACAATACAAGTAATATTAAGTACATCTTCTAATATTGGGCCATTATTGGAACGATAGTACATCACTTTTTTAACATATATTTATTTATTGAAAATTGGAATTACCTTTAAAAATCAATAACTGGGAATAAGATAATAACTGATAAAGATTAGAATCTTTTAATGTCATATATGAATATGGAAATGGTAGTGTCCAGAAATCTTCACATTTAAATATAAATTTCTCTAAAAATTTCAAATAAAATATTTATTAATAAGATCTCAACATAAATGCAAACTTATATTCTGCAATGGTATTAATTATATTCTCATTTACTCTCTAGAATTTTTTTACTGTTTTAATACCATTCATGATTTTCGACTATAAAACCAATAGATAATAAATAAGCTATAAGAATTTATTATAAATAGAAGTCAGAGCAATACCATTTTTATAATAATGGGCCCATTTCCGACCAAGGTTGTTTAGAATACTAGATGAACACTTATTTTCTAAATAATACAGAGTAGTTTCGAAGTCTGGTTTAGTAACATCAGAAACATACCAAGGAATAGCTTTTCCATGAAATACTATAGTATCAGCTAAATTAAATGTCAATAAAAAATCCGCAAAACATAAATCTGTAAAAAGCTCATAGGCTGAATTATCTAGAATGATATCTGCAAAAAATAAGATACAGATGAAATTCAACTTAAATTTTATAAATACAAATTGCATAGCTGTGAGGAAGAATTATACCAATTTGTTTTGTTTTGTTTTCTGTTTTTTGTAAAATTTCCCAGATTTCATCTGATTTATTTGTTATTAAATATTTATCTAACAACTTAATAGCTTTTGATGGGTCTTCTGAAATAGTTGTAGATTTACCAGCACTAAGAGAAAGATCACATCTATTTCCCCACAATGATATCTGTTACAATTTAAAAAATTAATGATACTTTTTTCTTAAAAATTATTCAAATCAAATATAGTTTGTAAAAATTAAAAACCCATTTTAAATTTTACAATATTCTCCATCTTCTAAAATTTATAATTTGAATAATTTAAAGAATTTAAAAATAAACACTGACCTTCAATATTTGTTCAAACAAAGCTTTTATTTCATAATTTTGAATGTTTAAATTTGCTAATTTTGATGAAATAAATTCACCTAAAGCTATCATAGATGACTTAGATTCTTTAAAAGCATTTAACTTAAGACTCTCAAAAGGATCAAAGTTTTTCAATGTAGATCTGTTATAAGATTAAATAATAATGTGATTATTAATTATTATTCTATTGTATTATAATATATCATAAATATTATTATTAATTAATTTTTATACAAAATAATAAAATAAACGTACAATTCAAATTAAACACTTTTTCTATAATTCAATTATATTTTTTAATTTAAAAATCAATTAAAATAAATTATTTTAAAAACCATACTTGGTACAAAAATTAAATTTTACAGGAGACAGTAAAAACTATTTCTGAGTTTTAAAGAAATTATATTATTAAATTAATTTTTGTTGAAATATACTCTTAAAATGAATAAACTGTGAAATTTTAAAAAAATGATACTAATTAAAGAAAAAATGAATATTAGACACGTGTGGTTTTTGCAATATAAGATTTTTGGATTTTTCTTCACTGAGAAAAGCTCATATCAAAAAAGTATTTAGTTAAAATTGGAAAAATGACAAACATGTATTAATACATTCAATTTTTTAGTTAATATTTTCTCCTATACATAACTTTATATCATGTAGACAATTTACATACAAAAAGATTTTTTCAAGAATATACAAGGTTATTATTTTACTTATTTAATTAAAAAAATAAATCAAAGTATAAATTTATGATTAATAAATGAATTAAAATATATATATATCATTTATAAAAAAAAAAAATAATAATAATAATAATAAAATTGTTTATTTAAGATGTGTATAATTTTTATAACAAACAATCATTTTCAACACGTTTTAAAATAAAAAAAAATATGATAAGTATACTTTTTACACACAATATCTCATAAAGCACAAGAATAAAAAACAAAAGTAATTTTGCCAAATATGTTGCCAGTGTAGTTTTTACATTTACTGATTTAAATTAGAATTTATATAATAATGTATAAAAAAATGTTAATTATGTAGTTGTTGAGTACGAAAGATGAAATAAAATTTGGAATGTTAGGATTAAATTAATAAATGCATAGGCATAACTTAAATAAAAATTTTAAAGGTAGTACGCTTTCTTTAGTTATGTCTATTATCTGTACTAGATTTTTGTAATTTTTTTTGTTGTTGTATTGAAAGTGATATATTTTTTAGATTTTTGAAAAATTATATTAATTATAAAACCAAATGATAAATGTATAAAAATATTTACATACTATAAACAATCATATTACTAGCTTATATAAATATCATGAATATAAATATTATAAAAATTAAATAAACATTTCATGATAATTAAAAAATCAGCATTTTAGATATAAATTTGTAATTTTCATTAAAAAACTTTAAAAAATTGTAGCTTATTATTTAATGTAGAAATGTATTTGTTACCTTTATATCAGAGCTATGTATTTTTAAATTCTATAAATATAATCAGATTTAATTTATCAATTTGTAACACATGATATCAAATAATGAAAAATTATTTTTTGTCTACAATATTAAATTTTTTATAATGATTTAATTCATGCTTAATAACTAATTCATAATTAATAATTATCCCTAGAGTAAATGGGATGTCAAATTCTAAAGCCAGATTCAAAAAAACATCGAAATTCTATATAGAAATCAAATAAATATTATAAACGGCCAAATTGCCGTTATTCTATATAATTAATATTAAATATAATTACGTTTTTTCAAAAACTTCGTTAATTCGAATATACATGTAATTTTCAGTAAAAAGCCATTCAGACTCAAACCATGTGACAGATGATTCCACTTTTAGTTTTTCATCTAAAATTTGATTCCATAAAATTGCTAAATTAAATGTACCATCAATTTTCCGAAGTGGTTTATTATTAATGATTTCATTTAAAAGTATCTTCATATCATCTATAGCATTTTGCATATTTTGTTTTTCTTTCTAAAATTAATGAAACAATTATAATTATTACAAAGTTTTATATATTTAAAGATATAATTATTTCTGACCAATTCCAATACCTGTTTTTCTAAATATTTAATAACTTGAGCAAATAAATCTGGCATTCTCCTGTATAAGGAGATATATCCAAAGCTCCTGAAAATATTTTACTTTCTATAGTTATTTAATAGCAAATATTTATTATTTTTAACTAAAGACTAATACATCCAACACACACACCTTGAATTACATTTTTAATATATTAGGGTTAATTATTTCACTAATTAATTTATACAAGTACTCACTTCTTATAAATGCCACGCAATGGTTCATTAATAGGAGTTTTTTGATCTTTAAAAATTTCATAGTTATTACAACAAGACATTGTTTTGTTAACTTTAAAAATTATTTTTAATTAAAGAAACGGTAATAATATAAAATATATTGAACTTGAAAATTTAAAGTCTTAAACAATCAGTCTTCTTATTGCAATATTACAGCGTTTATTAAGATATAATTCTGAATATTTACAGATTAATCCTTAGATGACCTAAGAAAACAATGTCAAGTTTGTACTATCTTAAATTATTTTTTTTTTAAGCTACGATAAAAAATTTATATTGTAGCACCCACTCTGATCCTGATAAATAAATTATTTTTTAGATTGAAAATGTAACTGATAATGAGTAGTTTTAGTTTTAAACAATCATTAAGAGTTAAAGAAGAAGCACGAGATAAGTTATTAGAGAGTACCAAATTATAAAGCCTTAATTTACTAGCTAATAACGAATAAGTACGAAAGGTTAACTGAACATTTATCAGCTGGTAAATTAATGAAGCATATTCCCATTAAAAAGATGATTACAACCACCGTAATTTGTTAATCAAGTGGATTCAAAAATTTATTAGCGAATCCGTCTTGTAAATCTTATCAATCATTACCACAAATTATGTGTATACAATCATTTGTGGACATTTGAAATACTCAAATTGTATATTTATCACATCATTTAATCTAGATCTAGTAAATCTACTTGAAAAATAAAGGATACATTTTATAGCTAAACAGATTTAATGTAATTTTTATATATTTACTTAATAGTTATAAAATATTTAAAAATGAAACAAAATATTATTTATTGACTTATTGACTCATATGAATCATTTAATTAAAAAATTCAAACACCGTAACTACTTATTCGCATATATTTCGAATTAGTGAGACAATTGTAATCATTTAAAGAAAATTTAAAATTGGCTTTAAAACTTTATATAAATAAAATAATACTTAAATTACTCATTCTTTAAAATTCATATTATAATACAATAAAAGGATAAAAAGCGTATTAAAAATTGTTATTACAATACAAAAAAGTTTGGAAATACGCGTACAATAGTTTCATGTTATCCTACCTTGATGTTAATATCAAAACCCAGTTTTAGTAATACATTTTAGGTATGCCTTGCATAGGCACAACTGGGACCGCTAGATACTAAATTATCCTCTCCATTTAAAAAGCTTAGAAAATTATTTAAATTGTTATACAAAAAAAATTTAGAATAGTGGATTATTTTTTCAGTGAGAGTGAAACAGTGATATATTTAAAGGTAGGCCAATCAGGCTAGGACTTAAAACGGTTCTTTTGGGAAATGGACTTATAAAAATTTAGAATAACAGGCAAATTTATTTTTTTAAGCTTTATATATATATTTTTTTTCAAGTAACATGACAATTTAATATAATATTCATGTTTAAATTGAAAATATTGCAAGTATAATTTAAATTCATATAACAGAAAAAATAATTGGCTTTTAAAATTTACTTGCAAAGTATTATGCTAAATACAAGGTGATCCGATTATTTTAAACTACTCAATTACTAGTTAAACTAATATGAAATTGAAATTAAATAGTACATTAATACTGTAAATCATTTACAGATTTGTCAGTTTTAACTTTTTAAATATTTGCGCCTTTAAATTTTATAGGTTATCCGTGTTTTTCAAATATAACCTCAAAATATTTTTAACTATCTATGGCATTGCTTATAATGTTACGCTTGCGCAATAACGCTTTCGGTAAATTGTTCACTAGCTAATGTCTGATTATTTTTTTTCTTTTAAACCACGTTGGAGATATTTTTCCTGTCTTCTTAAGAATATTTTTTTTTAATTGTAAATTCAATTAAAAACCATGGCTGTTGGCAAGAACAAAGGGCTTTCTAAAGGTGGCAAAAAAGGATTAAAAAAAAAAATGTGAGTATAAAATTACTTAATAATAATTTTGATATATATTAAAAAAGATAATTTTCTCAAAAATAATTTTATTTATTTATTTTGTTCGTAGCGTTGATCCATTTACACGTAAAGATTGGTACAATATCCGAGCTCCGTGCATGTTCACCAACCGTGATGTAGGCAAAACATTGGTTAATCGTACTCAGGGCACAAGTAATATGTTAAACAAATTTAATGCTATTTCATATTTACTTATGCAAAATCAAAAAAAAAATTATTTGCGTTCTTTAAATTACTTTAACTTACAATCAATAGATTTATAGATAGTTAACATATATATACCAGTGGTATGCTATTATTATATAGCTTATTACTTTAATAATGAATTTTTGATAAATTAAAACATCTACATAACTACTTATAAACTTTTCTTTTTTCTTAAGCAGTTATTAATTTCGATTAGCTTGTCATTATGTTTTTATGTAGATATTTTAATTAGAATAATTCTCTTTTTTATTTATCATATATATCGCTAAAATTTCTAATGCATTAATTTTTAATTGTTAAATAAAAACTTGTATCCCTTAAAATTTTAAATTACTTAAATGCTTATAGCATGATTGTTTTTCTAATAACTCGTGTATTGTGACAATAATAATTAACGTGTGAGTATTTTTCAATAAAACTTAATTATTTATATTTATTATTAATTACAAAAAAAAATTTTTTTATATAATACAATGTAAAAAAATTAAATACATATTTTCATATTAAAAATAATTAACTTAGTGTGGCTATAAAATTTTAATATACATAAATTCATGTAAAAATAAACTATAAGAAGTTTTTACGTTTTTTAATCCTATTTTTTTATGCAAAATGTTATAAATAAAGAAATCCTCTTCCTTACTTAGTAAACATTCTATATATTGCAATTTTATCTATATAAATCATTAGTTAAAAAGTACATGTTTATTTAGTAAAACAAAAAATTATCCTGAAAAATCCATTTACATGTACATGTACAATTTTTTGACAAATAATATAACTATAATTATTTAAAATATAATTTTTAATTATTTGTCAAAACATAAACTACATTATGTATGTACAAGTGGAAATATATTTGATATCATTTAATAAAAAAGTATGGTTACAATTTTTAACCATTATTAAAATTGATGTAGTGTGCTTTATGAGTAGAAAATACAAGGTTGTAACTAGCATACATTTTTAAGACTTTAAAAGATTCATAAATGTATGTTTATTGCTTATTTGTAAAATTTGTTAATTAAAGAAAGTTAATTGTTTAAGATGTAATACCCAATATCTCACTTTTTGGGCAAATTCAGTTAGTAACACTATGTTATTTAAATTTTCGTAGGGAATTGTTTGTTGAAAAAACATATATAAATAACAACACTATAGATAGGATATAAAAAAAAAATAAATAACTCTGTAAGAATTAGTCATGAAAAAAAAAGTTTTATTGTTCTCCTAAAAAGTTGAGAAAAGTGAGATATCTGGTGTTGCATCTTAAAAGACAAAATATTATACTGCTGTTTTGTTTATTTATTTTATTGTTTCTTTACAGAAATTGCATCTGAAGGATTGAAACACCGTGTTTTTGAAGTTTCATTAGCTGACTTACAAGAAGATGATGGAGCTGAAAGGAGTTTCCGTAAATTTAAGCTAATTGCTGAAGATGTTAAAGGAAGAAATGTTCTTACTAATTTCCATGGCATGGATCTTACCACTGATAAGTTACGTTCAATGGTAAAGAAGTGGCAAACATTAATTGAAGCTAATGTTGATGTGAAAACTACTGATGGTTATTTATTGCGTGTGTTCTGTATTGGATTTACTTCCAAAGATCAGTTGTCTACCAGAAAAACATGTTATGCTCAACATACTCAGGTTAATTTTTTTTTATTAATTATAATATTATTGTTTAGATTTCTATTATGACTTTACCCTTGTTGGTTATTGCATTATTCTTATTTAATCTTTTTAATTTAAGTTCATTATTTTTTTGATATTATACCTCACAAATTTATCGGTTTTCTAAAAATGACATGGTTAAATTAATTTAATGGATTGTATAAATATATTTCCATAGTATGTTACCTATTTTAAAGAAATTTAACTCATTTAGTCTAATCATAACGAGTGGTGGTAGGGGGTATATGGGATATACCTATTAATGATTTTTTTCTAAGTGTATTATAGTAACTCAAAAAAAGAAGTATAAAATTTAATTATGATTAAAATTAGTTACTTGTTGGTCTTGTATGAGCATGAGAATAATTGAGTTACTATATATTTATTGAATAAAATGATATAATATAATATTCTCTTGGGATATGAGTACGAGAGTTTTATGAGAAGATGTAAAATATAGAAAAGCAAAATAATTGAAAATTTATTAATATAATAATAATTGGAAATAGAATTTATTGTGATTAATTATCACACATAAATTATCAACAACACCACTCATCAGTAGTTATCTAAGCTTGTGCTGACTGTGAGTCATGTCAATAAATACCTTGAGTAGTATAGGAACCCCAAGTAGATTTTCTATCTTCGCTAGTCTTTATTAGTAAATAATTTGATTACACAGGTAACCTACTCAAAGATTGGACTAAGCTGGTTAATTTTGTACAAATATTATTGATTTTATTTAAACAATATTTTATTCTAGAGATCACTTAATTTTTCTGGTTCCCTTCTTAATTTATATATTCATTATACTTACCTTTAAACTTTATAAATCTTCTGTGAAATATGAATTTACCTTAATGATATCAAGAGTAAGGTTGAAAAATAAATATACTTAAATTTTCCATGTGAAATCGTAAATTTGTCAAGCCACTTCTTGCACTTGTTGAAAATTCATAAAGTGAAGGAGTAGTGAGTCGAATTGGCAGTTTTTATGCTCTTTTATATTAAATTTAATTTATTAATATTTGTTTATAACTCAATTGTGTTATTTACATATTATTTTACTTAAAATAGATGATTTGTCATAACTAAAGAATTTATTAAAGTTATTACATTAGATTTGTATCAATGTATTTTTAGACATATTTCTCGGAATAGTTTAAAGCATTAACATAAATAATATATATTTTATTTGATGACTATTAGACAGTAATTTATAGACTTCTGAATAATGAGTGGTGTATGTATTATAACAATACCCAAGAAAAATAATGTTTACGTAATTTGTATATTGAAGGATATATGCTCACAAGTCAGCAAGTACCCTTAAATTAAAAAAAAAAAATTATTTTTGTAAAAACAATCCCGACTAATCATGTACATAGTGTTTTTTTTAAAATATAACTAGGGCTAGGAATTTATAACATTTTCAATTTTTTTAATATTACTTTAGTGCATTTGTTGTATTTTCTTATAATTTCATAAGTTAATTATGTTTTTGTAACCTCAGTCATTTTAGTAAAATTTATATTCAATTTTTGGTAGTTATTTGTACTTTTGACACTTTTAGTATACACATCAATATTTTGGAAAAATAAAATATATATTTTTTCAATAAATTATTTTACTATAATCTGTTTTAAAAGCCCATAATTATTTATTATAATAGTTATAAAGAAAGTTACTGTTAACATTCTATTCTGCTATCTTTTTTGTCATATCTTAGTTAAGACTACTGTATTTGAAATTGTGAATTAACAATAAAATTTTAATTATAATTACCTAACTTCAACATGTTGTAACAAATGTACAAATTGTTAGCACAAAATTCTACTATATGATCAAGTTAAAAATAGAGATCCTATTTAAGAAAACTAAAGTTAACATTTTTTAATACTGAGGGCATAAAAAAAGAAAGTTTCAACCACATATTATTGTAGAATTATTATTTTATAAATCAAATAATTTTTTTCTTTTTAAAAATTTTAAATTTTAAATAGTTTTTGAGAAAACAAGTGTCTTACAAGTTTTGATCCCTATAACGTAAGTAATTCACCTTTTAACCTAAGCACAGATCCAGAACTCTTATTTGGGAGGGCCTTCGAAAGTAGACTGGTTACAAAGCTGGGTACTTGCTACAGTGGGTAGGTGGAAATAGGTTAGATTGTAAAATTAACTTATTTTATTATTGGACGTTTCTTATTTGAGTTTGTTGCCTGTAAAAAGTATTTTATAATAAAATTAATGTAAAGTAAATATAATTATATTTAAACTACAAATTAAATTCTTAAGTAAACCGTATTGCAACAACAAGCAATGTATAATAATATCAATATAAGATTCTAGTAATTTTGTGTTAAAAAGTATATACTAAAACATATTGAATTATTAACATTAAGAAAATTAAACTCAATTTCCATTAATATTTATATAAAAATTTAATAAAGAAAACTTAAATACATTTTTTGTTTTTTTTTTCTTTTTTATTATTATCTTAAAATGTATCAACCCTAATTAATAATAGGTATGCGAGTTAATTAAAGTTCAAAATTAAAATTGTTTAAATTTTGGGAGGGGCCATTGCTCCCATGCCTCCCCCTTATATTCGTGTCTGATTTAACCTTTTTTTATAGATTAAATGGTCTTATTTATTAAAGCATGATTTAATAAATAAGACCATATTTGTGTATTGCCTATATTTATCAATGTATTATTTGATAGGTCAGAGCTATTAGAAAGAAGATGGTTGAAACTATTACTGAAGAAATAGTTAAATCTGATCTTAAAGAAGTAGTAAATAAGTTGAGACCTGATTCTATTGCTAAAGAAATTGAAAAGAAATGCCAGAGCATCTACCCATTACATGATGTCTTCATTCGTAAGGTAAAAAGGAATAGTTGTTTAATATGACATGGTAGAAAATTATTAAGAATTTACACCTTTATAAAATAATTTTGAGATATATTACAATTATTGTCATACATTATTAGTATTATTTATTTTACCTAAATATCGAGTTTTTCTATTAAGAAATCTCTTTTTTAATTTTAATATGTTGGATTTCCATAATTCGCACATTTGTATTATAATTGTTATTTTATTTTACTTTTACTATTCATGAGTAAAAGCCATTTCAATATTTATTTATAAGATTAAAATTATTGGTTATGTTAAGGTTTATTTTAATTAAAATATTATATAACTATTGTATATTTGTTATTAATAAGTTTAATAACGAAATAACATGTTTATAATTCTATCAAATAAATAATATTACATATTATAAACATTTATTTTCTAAGTTAATATTGAAAAATATATTTTTTATTTTAGGTCAAAGTACTAAAGAAACCTCGTATGGACATTGGTAAATTAATGGAATTCCATAGTGATGAAGGTGTGACCACAGTTGTTGATGAAGAAACGGGTGTTCAAGTAGACAGGCCTGAGGGTTACGAACCACCTGTACAAGAGTCTGTTTAATACATGAATTTTTATAAATAAAACTATAGTTCACATACTATTTTGTTTTTATATTTTTTTAACCCTCTAGTTTTATTTAAGGATTTCTTATTAACTGTACTTATAAACTTAACAATTTAATGGGTTTCAATGTGAAATATAAATTGTATTATCATAGAAATTTCAATTCACATATAATTGAATAAAAATTATTCCTTCGCATAAAATGTTATGATAGAATTTTTAAAACCAACTTTTATTGATTTTAAAATTATTTACTTCAAATATATTAAAACTAATTGGAATGCTTTAAGGAGTGTGATCTTAAAATTTATTAGTATGAACATTAAATTAGGCTTTTAAAATATATTATTGAATTGGATACGATTATTCTACTGGACCAATTTTTGTCAACAATTCGTCATGAGACCATAAAATGTATCTAATTGTAGCTTTTAGTATCATAATTTTGAAAAATTATTTTCAATCTCGCAAACAAAAAGAAACGTTCCAAAAAACAGATGTCAAAACGTGTTGATATTTTTAGTTTTCATCTTATATTGTAATAACTTAAAAAATTTACCGTATTATTACGATATATTTACTCGAATACTTAAGACATTTACCTTATCAACGATGTACTTTTTTTAAAAATTACTCATAAACAAGGTACTATGAGGATTTAAAAATTTTATCAAAATTTTTTCTTTTTAGTTTTTGATTATGTTATGAAAAACTTATCTACTTTAAACCTACATAAACTAAAGTTAATACAATATTTATTGTGATGAAAAAACTATTATAAATCGATTTCTTGAAGTTTAATCCAAAATTTATAATTTTCAGTATGAATGGCTGTTTTTGATTGGTTTTACATACAAACTGACCCACTTACATCATTCAAAAATAAATTAAATTTTATTTTATACACTATGTGATTAATGAAAGAAAGACGTTTTGACTAATTGTCTTCTATGAATAATCTGTATCTAAAGTTAAGAATCGTGTAATTTTTGGTTGATATATAAAATTTATTATTAATTTGTTTCTAGTACGCTCGAAGTGTTTTACGGCAGTGATTCTAATTACTGCCAGATAGTAAACTACACTAATCTAAAAAATGCCTAAACTCCATTGATGGATTTCTACAGTTTAATTTTTTTAGTTTTAATTCAATATATATTTATAATCAAGGGAAATATATTTAAAATATATAACTCGATCTTATTTTTGGTAGGTGTGCTTTCGATTATCTATTTCTGGATGCTTAAATTTTTAAATTTTAAAAAAATTCTAGATTACTTTTTCTATTTAATAAATGATCTATGCAAAACAGTTGTATACTTTGTTATATAGTATAACTATAACACGGAATTATATACATTTTATTTAAGCCATTTTGAAGAGTCCCAAGTTTATGCAAATTTGTCTTAAGATTAAATAAATAGTAGCGTAGAAATATTTTCCGTTTTATATAATACTATATACATAAAAACGTAGTACTTTAATGAGCATTCTAACTAACGTCAAAGTTAAAGATTACTGTTTTATGTAACGGTAAATTTGATAATTCACCGTTTATTTCAACTTGGATTTATTAATCTGTTAACATTAATTCTGGTATTTGTATTAACAGTTTAATAACCCCTTATATGATGGTATGACGCCATATTTACTGAGAATACATATCAGTGTAGCCTCATAATTATTTCTATTATGCTTGCTTGGATCTACAAAATTTTTATTAAATTCTATTTTTGTGTTATAATTTAATTTAATTATATTTTATATTTAAAGGTTTTCTATTTTCAAACAACCGTTTGTTCAACTTCAGAATTATTTATGGTATTGGGCTAACTTGGATTCGAATTAAACTTTTTTTTTGATGATGTAGGAAAAATTCAAATATTATCATGGAATAAAAAGTAATGCCATTTTCCAAAACCCATATTCTATGATGCGTTCGTTCACTAGTCAAAATTTATAATTTAGCTTAATTTTTATTTCTCTGTTAAGTGAATTGTGATCCAACTGTTTGTTATTATCCGTTATATACGAAATTTGGTTTTTCTTTTTTTTATCGTTTTTATCGAACGATTCTTTTGCTTAGAGTATGCATTAGAGAAAAATATGGCCAACGATAATTTAGAAGATTTAAAAAACTGTAAACGGCCTGCCTCATCTAGCAATCCTGATCTTTCAGACATCGATGATCTTATTCAAGAAAATAGTAAGTACCTTGAATACATGTTATATTATTATGATTTACTACCTTAAATTTTTATATTTCATATATATATTTTTTTTTGGTGGGAATTTTATCCATTGTGAATTTAGGGAATACAACTTTTATCTTCTTAAATTAAATTATTGGTAAAATTATTTTTGTGTTATGTTATTAATTACTTATTTCGATGACAATTTTAATTTAATTATTAGATTTAAATTTTAACAACTTGATAGTATTGTACAAATTTATATTTGATAAAATAAATTCTTCACTATTGAGCTAAGAGTCAAGGTTTTTTAAAAGGTCATTATTTTACAATAATAAATTTACTTACACAATTTTGGAATATCAAGGATTTTTTAATAATATTATTTTATTTTTTAGCTGAAAAAATTAGAGTTGGTCGTGATTTTCAAGCAGTTATTCCCAAATTATTAGTATCTCAAGGTTTGTATAATAGTTTGTTTTACATCATTTTTTGTAAAAAATTTTTGGCCTCTATAAACTAGTAATATGTAACAATATTATGATAAATTTCAGCTCAACGTCGTGAGCGATTAAACAAAAAGGCATTATTAGTATGGTCACCAACAGAAAAAATATCAGATGTCAAATGTAATTATTATTTTATATTAATATTATTGTAAAGTAAATGATTACTTTTTTAATTTTATTTATAGTAAATGAGTATATTTTACTATCCAAAGATAAGTATGGATATAATAGTGAACAAGCATTAGGTATGTTATTTTGGCACCATCATGACATGGAAAAAGCTCTTTGTGATTTGGCAAATTTTGCTCCTTTACCTGATGAATGGAGTACAGAAGACAAAGTTACATTTGAGTCTGCATTTAATAGTATTGGAAAAAATTTTTTACGAATCAAACAAATGGTAATTTTATTATTTAGAGGAATAAAAGTACATTTTTGTTAATTTTAAACAAAATATTAAAATTATATTTTAGTTACCTGATAAACCAATAGCTTCTTTAGTTAAGTATTATTACTTATGGAAAAATAAAAGAAAGAAAAGTAGTGTAATAGATCGTCAAGCAAAAAAGTTAGCAAATGTCCGATCTAATGAAAATCAAAATGGAAGTAGAGAAGGATCGAGTTCAGCAGATTCTGAACCTGATGATAAGGTATTCGTGTTCTAATTCTATTTAATATCAATCAAACCGTGAATTTTTTATCAATATTTGTAGGGTGAGGCATAAAACTTAAAAGATCTTATCATGTTACTATTGAACTGTGTACACCATTAAATACATTTAAGTAAGTGTTATTATGAAATATAAACCTTTCTAAGAATGAGGGATTTTTAATGAGGTTGCTAATTTTGAAATAAACATCTCAAATTTTGGTATTACATATTTTATTTATAGGAAAATTGTTTTTTGAATTTCTTACTTTTTGAACATTGTGTAACTTAAAAAATGAATCTAAATCTTATCTAGTCAAAGACATTACCCTCAAAAAAATTCCCATGTTCTCTGTAAATAGGTGAAATCTCCAAAAAAAATTACAATTTTAAAAATTGGTATTTTTAAACTTTTTTTTATCTAAAATTGCCATAAATGGATAAATAAAAACAATTTTTTTTTATAAAAACCTTTGGTAATTACCTATCATCTGGTATATATTTTTTGAAAATCTTACCCTTTACCTGCCTACTGAAGTAAATCAGTATGGCAAAAAATTAACTTCTTAACTTTATTTTTAAAAATCTTCCAGAAATACTGATATTTTTATATATAATCTAAGTTTTGAAAATGTTCCGGAAATACTGACACTTTTATATATATCTTATATTAAAGTTTATGTAATATATTTAAGTTTGAAAAAAAATATTTGACCTCTGGACTTGTATTTGTGGTGAAAACAGACATAAAAAAAAATAATAATAATAAGAGTATGATTTTTGTGTAAAAATTGGAAAATTAAAAAAATGTAATAAATTGTACAAACACTTATTTGAAATTGTTTTTAAGAAATTAGTGTAAACTGCATTGGTGTATTAAAAAAAGAGTGTTAGGGGACCAATCCCCCTTTGTATTTTATTCGATAATATTTATTTTGTCTTAAAACTTAAATAACTTTACAAAGTTATCTAAAAAAGGCTGGCGCCCACAACTTCTCCATTTAAAAAAAACTGTTCTATATGAAATCCAGCTAAGCTAGCAAATATATATTTTTTTGTATGTTGGAACATCTCAGGCCTTCCAATCAAATACCTTCAGCAATGTAACAGGTACCTCTTGGTACATAACTATTACTACCTTTTACAGTAACTTAAAATTCCCTACTATTAATAGGCTCACTAAAAAAGATCCTTACATCACCTGGATCCTCTCATTAACTCCATGTCTTCCTACTCATTTTCTCAAAATATATTTTGTTGATAAAAGGAACTCTGGTCTCTTACCTAAATCGAAGTCAAATAATTAAAATAATATATATACAGGTGATCGGTTTATGATAAACCACTCGATTACTTTCAAAATATAAAAAATATTCAAAAATAAAATATTGCAAAAAAAATAATTTATTATTTCTTTTGGTTAAGTATAGTTCTTGATTTATCAACTAATAATTAATTTTTTGAATTATCCCTTATAACGTAAAGGAATATCAGCTTTAATTGTTTAAAAGGTAAATTTATAAAAATGATTGATAGATAACAACTTTTAAACCTGTACTGTGGAAGTTATTCTCATTTTTATACACAGGCAACACAAAAAGTATGGGCGCGAAATATCTAGTAATATAAATAGCAGCATTAAATTTTACCTTCAGTCATTACTTTAAATTGTTAATTTCTGAAATAACTACTGGTCCAAAAGTTAATAATGACCAGTTATTTTCTTAATTAGATCATTATATAATAAATAGCTAGTTAATAATGTGTGTTCCATTTGAAAATTGAAATTGATACCCTTACAAGTTGTATGAGATAAACATAAAAAAATTTACGATTAAAAAGTAAAAAAAAAACAATAATATTAGAAGAGACCACTAAAAGAATTATTAAAAAAAGTTACAGTATTAAACCAGTATGTAAAATACGAGTTCAAAAGTTGTTATCTATTAATCATTTTCTATATATTTATTATTGTATTTATTTTGAGAGTAATCAAGTGGTTTATAATAAAACGATCACTCTGTATATGTATATACACATATATAGGATGATTACTTTAATGCTAACCATTCGATGTCTTTTAAAATAATAATTATAATAAGAAAATCATTTTTTTTTTATTATTTTTTAGTTTCATATATTTCTTGGTTTATTATTTGTTATTTTTTAATTCATCCCATATACTTTATAAGGGTATTAACTTTGATCTATTAAATTGTAACATGTGAAATTAACTAGCTTATAAAAAAAAAAATTATTTAATTAAGAAAATTACTAGTAAATAATAAATGTTGGCACTAGAGGTAAGATGCAGGTTTGACAATATTTATCATTAGACATATATTGGCTACAGTTCTCTTTTTGTCTAGGTACAAAAATTGTTATCAACCAGCCATTTTCTTAGATGGCTTTGATGGTAGATCATTTTTTATTTTGTAAACTAGTTTTAAATGTTTGTCTCCATTAAAAAAAAAAAAAAAATTGATACCCTTATAAGGGATGAATTAAAAATGTAATAAATAACTGATAGATCAAGAAATATATACTGCTCATTTTGAAGAACAGTACACTCTAACTATGCATGTAACTAGTGTGATCAGAATGTATGGCTACTTATAGGGGTATATTTCAAAAATGTTTATAGTTCAAAAATAAGCTATCTCATCAAAAAAAAAAAGTAAATGAGCAATGTTATTCCATATAAAATTATAGATACGGTGAGCTACTTAAAATTAAATTTTTATAAAAAATAGAATGTTATTAACAGATTGTAATAATCTTATAAATATAAAAAAATTATTAGAACTATGTTTAAAATTTCTTTTTTTTTATGAATTTTCAAAACTAATACAAAACTGTATTAAAATAGGATAACCTTGTTCTTGGTAAAAAAAACCTCAATGTGCAAAATTGTTACTTTGCCAATTTTTTTTGGTTTTGGATGCTATACAAAATTATTTATTTAAGAAAAATTCTTGTTTTTCAGTGTTTAATTTTGGGGAAAGGGGTTGTCGTAGGTAAAATGACAATAAGTTTAGTATCCCTAATATGTATACTTCAATAACGAAAAAAAAAAATTCTCAATCTTTAGTCTAATATTTTTATTTTATATTAAATATAAATGATTGGAATTAAAATAAAATACCATTATTTTATAATATGGTGTCATCAATTTTTATGAGAAATTTAACCTTTTCTCTATAATTTATTATAAGTAGTATTTTTGGGTGTTTCAGTTATAAATAGTCTTTTTTAATGTTAAAGTACTGCAATTCAAATTCAAATTTATATTTAATTTTTTTTCTTATTAACATTTTTTAATTTTATTATTTTTAATTTACAAAAATATCTGTTGGTATTGAGTTCTGAGAATACTTACCCTAAGATGTAAAAGTTTTATTTAAAATATAGTTGTATTAATAAATTCGTTTTAATAATTAAAAAAATTCTTAAGTATATTTTTTTAACTTTTAAATAAAATATCAGTGAATTTTGTAAACAGAACTATAGGATTTTACTACAATATTTTTGTAAAATGTACTATTAGAATTTGTGTTAAAGTTAATTAATTTTTCATCTAAAGTTGTATATTCTCAGAACAAGTCATGTTTGTTTATTTTGTAGTTATTATTTAAATATTTTAATGAATTTTTGTTTTTATGTTATAGAAAGATTCTGGGGAAGGTAGTTCAAAACAGTCATGCACAGTTTGTGGAGTATTTGTAACAACAATACATCAAACTACAAAAGGTTCTATGTGTGGCACATGTTACACACATTTCAGGTATGAATATTAATAATGTTATTAGGTGTATTAGTAATTTTTATAGAAAGGTTAAAATATTTTATGTAGATATTTGGTATGTATCCTTAAGAGAAAATCACAATTTGATAAAAGCTGACTTTATAACAGATTGTTTTCTTTTGATGCACTATTTCTTTATAGTGTATAAACTTACCTTTAAAAATGTCTATATTTTAGTTTTCTAAAGAAATTTATTTAAGTGTGGACTGAAAAGTAATGCATCTTGGTGTTTGAATTTAAAACTAGTGAACTTAAATTAATATAATAAAAGGAAAATAAATCAAATTATCTATATTTACATACGAGGTTGAAAAAACTCAAGGTTTCCTAGTGTTCTAGGCACTAGAAAACTGTAGAAACCATATCTTCACTATTGTGTGATAGAATTTTTCATTATAAAAAAAAATGAGAAATCTTTCCATCCCAATGTTAGAAATTTTGACCACGGTAACATTTCAATCATGAATGGATCTATCCCTTTTACTTCCATTTCTGTATAACAATGAGATCAATGTGAAATGTATCAGGCCGTTTGTTATTTTAACATGAAGATCTTAACATGAATATCTTAGAGGAGGTTAAAACTTTAAAGTTGTGTTTATCTCAAAATGCCTTTTTTCCAGATACTTCCCTTTTTTATTTAAAGTGTGATATATTTTTGTTAATATATGATTTTAGATATTTTTACACCAAAGAAAGTTATTTTTTTATTATGGTCTAAAATAATTTAGCAACTAAGAAATTGTATCAAAGAGCAATTTTTTTTTTATTTAGGAGAACAGGAGGAGGCATAAGACCAACATTAGGCCCACCACGACCAAATAACCGTCATTTAAATGTTGCACGCAATAAAAGGTTACCTCCACGAGGAATGTATGTTAATCATGATGATCTTCAAACCATAGCATCTGGACCTAATGGAGATGTTATTTTATCAGGAATGGATGATGAGGTTGTATCATTAAAGTGCAAAGTATGTGTAATAATAGTAATTTCATTAAATTTTTTTTTTGGAATTAAAATTTTTCATGGCAGATCCAATCAAATAAACAAGAAATTGGACAAATTGGGAAAAAACTTAAATTAGATATTAATGAATACAGAGTTAATGAACCAACTTCTAGTCGTATTTCACCACGATGGACAAATGATGAAGTTATGTTAGCTATTCAAGGTACATTAAACATTGTATATTTTGTAGAAATTGGGTTTTAGAAATTCATTTTTCAACAACCTTTAATTTATTATCTGTTTATCCTATACTAAATTTGAGATGTTAATTTTTAGGTATGCGCAAATATGGAAAAGATTTTCAAGCAATTGCAGAAACATTAGGAACAAAAACACAAAACCACTTAAAATCATTTTATGCTCATTATCGTAAACGGTATAATTTAGATTCAATACTCCAAGAACATGATGATGAACATAACTCAATCATAGAACTTAGTGATGAAGAAGAAGTGGTAAGTAGGTTTCATATTTGTTTTTTTTTATAAATAAATTTTTAATACTTTTTATATTATTTTTAATGTGTTAAATATTGGAAATGAATGATTACTTATGTACTGTGGTGAGTGGTTTAGTACTAGAAGTTTGAAGTGTGTTCTTGTACACGTTTTTCTAGACATTTTTTTAAGTATTAAATGTTAAGCCCTACCATGTTTGACTGACCACATAGAAGTTATATTAGGTATTAGGTAAATAAATAATGAAAATATTGAACTTTATTATGAACTTTTATTAAATTGATAGCATATTTCAATATGACCCATACCTTTTAAGCATACATTTAGTTGGTATTCATAGTGAATTATTAATGAAAAAATGACAAAAATAATGATTTTTTTCATTGAAATGTACCGATATTAAACTTGATTTATTTTAGTAAATCATATTAAAATAATTGTAAGAAAAGATTATAAAAGTAGGTGTAACTTTAGAGAGTTAAATAGAAACCTATTATTTGTTTTTTTTAAATCAATGCTCAAAATATAGTTTTGACAAATCATTAATCAGTTTTTGTATTATTACTTTTTGAGTTAATATAATATTTATTTTGATGTTGAGTGGTGTAAAAGGTATAGTAATTCTAATCTTAGTGATACGATCACATTTGCATGTCCTTATATCTCTGTCTCCCATAACATCATTGTACCGTTTAATAGACATATTTATATGTTAATTATATATATTTATATTTATGTCTATATTCTATTTATATTTATGATATAAATATTTATTTATATCGTTGTTAACCAAAAGTGTTATATATATATATATATTGTAGTGCGACCCTTGGTAGTTCCTCTAAGGGAATATAAATTAAATAGGAAACTTCAGTACCTAAGGTAGATATAGCCTAGCCAGCTATCCCCCGTTGGTCCCTTAGAATACTGTCAACGGGCATTTAGGCTCAACCCCTAAATAGTGACGTAACATTAGTAAAAATAATGTCGCTGTATACTATCATGCTGTACACCTTTTAGAGTATAATTTAGAGTGTCTCTAAATACTATCTCACTCCTCACCTTTTCTAAATTTGTAAATGCTAATATCTTAAAAAGTAATATGACATTAGTTATTGATTAACCAAAATTTCATTTAGGCCATTTATCATCAATAATAATAAAAATAATTATAGGTTCTCATTTAAATTTCAAAAAGTTTCCCCTAGTAATTTAGGCCAAAAAGTGGGCATGTTTCATTGTTGTCCCAAGTTTTCAATTTCCACATTTATTTTTATAATTTTATTTCAGTTAACATTTTGAAAAGGTGTATCAGCTAATAGTTAATATATGAATGAATATAAAATTTAGGCATAATTTTTTCAGTTCTTTGGAGAACCAAAACAAAACTGTCACATGTTTAAAGGGATATAAATCAATTTGTTAAATAAAAAATATAAAAACTAAAATTAAATACTAATTGTGAATTGCTTAATGCAGAATATTTTGTTTATTCTATTAAGACATTTAAATAAGATAAGTTGTAGATATATTATCTTCTTTAAGCTTGACAGAAATTTTTTTAATTACATTAACGAAATATAAATATTTTTATACTAAATATAAAATATTCCATAAAAATAGTTCATGTATAATATAAATTATATCAACAAAAGTTACTGATAATTGTAAACATTTCAGGTTAACAATAAAGATGAACCTTCATCTTCATCATCCAGACCTAGTACGCCTTCTTCAATGGCTTCTGGATCTAGGCCTCTTAATAACCTTACACTGTCTAACCCAAAAGCTCATCAAACAGCAGCAGTTGCTAAGTGATATTTGTAGAGTTATTTAAGTTTTCACTGCCTTGTTTTCATTAATTATTATTTTATACTATAAAATCAATCTGTGTAAACATGTATATAATTTAAAGGGCTTTTATTTTAAACAAATTTTTGACTTTTATTCAAACATTTTTATATAAAAATACAATTTTAAACAGTTATAAATAGTAATAGTATAAGTAATTTTAGATTTTATTTTTTCATCCATGTTTTTAAATTAATGAATTAAAATTTTGTGTTAGTTACTTTTTAATGTTAAACAATAAGTATTTTTAATCTATAACAATAAAAATAAGTTATTATAATTGTGTATGCAGACTGTATTAATTAAAAAAATGTAACTTTAAATGTATTGTACTAATTGATGTTCCGAAAAAAAATAGGAAATAAAATATTACTAAAAATTTTATTATTAAATTATTTTTTTAATGACATATTCAATGAAAGTACTACTGATTACTCTTTTTGTTAATAAAATTTAATATTTAAACAAGAATATTATATACTCAAATTTGTTGAGAATAACTATTCAGTGACTTAAAAGAAAATCGGCCGAGTGTGGTTNGTTGAGAATAACTATTCAGTGACTTAAAAGAAAATCGGCCGAGTGTGGTTGTTATACATATTTTAATGTTCCATAAATATTTTTCATGTATATTATATACATACTTCATTTATTTAACACTAAATTTTAACAAAAAAATAATAAAGAAATCATAAAAATAATTAGCCTCCAATTATTTTATCTTAAGATTATATTCTTAATAGGTTCAACTTATAACTCATTTTATAATTCTTATAATATAATTTGTTATAATACAAGGTCTAATCAAAAAGTATAGAACGATAAAACAAGTTTATAGAATAATTCATTTAATGCTAGCCATTTGAATTCTTATAAAATGTTTTAAAAAGATTTTTTTTTAATTTTGTTAGATACATACTCATTATACATTTATCTATTAAAAATAAACTTAAAATCCACTCATAATAGCTTTAGGGTGTAAATTTTAATTTTTTAAATGACAATGCATTTTGAATTAGATAATAAAATGATAATGATCTAATTAAGAATGACTGGACGATAACAAATGTTGAACAAAAATTTTGAGAGTTATTTATAATTTAAAATNCCCGTTACAACCATAATATTGATAGTAACCACTATCATAACATAAAACTAAAAAGTGAAAAATAAATATAGTTTAAAAAAACACGCTTTTAAAGCACATCGAACTAAAATGTTAAAAATAATTTTTAAAATAAGCTTAAAACAATAATGAACGAAAAATACTAGTATTATTGTGATAAAAGCGTGGGTGCTTTGTGCCATATTTTTCGTATATTGAGCGCCCGACGCTTTTATCACAATAAATAATAGTATTTTTCGTTCATTATTGTTTTAAGCTTATTTTAAAAATTATTTTTAACATTTTAGTTCGATGTGCTTTAAAAGCGTGTTTTTTTAAACTATATTTATTTTTCACTTTTTAGTTTTATGTTATGATAGTGGTTACTATCAATATTATGGTTGTAACGGGGTAAAGGGGAATCAGGGTTCGATTTCGGAGAGGGAGCCTGAGAAACATTTACCACATCCAAAGAAAGTAGCAGGCGCGTAAATTACTCACTCCCGGAACATGGAGGTAGTGACGAAATATGACCATACGGGAATCATCCTTTGTAACCGGAATGAATACACTTTATATCTCTTAATGAGAATAAAGCGTGTTAATATATAAATTTTAATAGTAATTAGAATATACATATACATGTAAAGCGACTTAAGTACGTAAACGTATCATGCACGAGGTATATCCTTGTTTTGTGGGCGGGGGGAACGTTATACCTGAGGTATCAACGGAGGCAGCGACGGTAGGAATATATAAATATATATACGTAAGGCGCATTACACGCGGCGCGGTATTGGTCAGTCAAAATAAAAATTTGTATATATATATATAATTGATGACAGGCACGTGTGTAAGGATACGAAAACCAAAAATATAAAACTATACAGGATTAGTGTTGTCGTTGTGAGGTGAGCAGGGTGGGGTGAATGCGTTACGACGTCTAGTCTCAAGGTCATAGACGACGGGTACGCGAGAATAACACGTGCCGCTTGGAAAGTTACAAACACACAACCCACATACATGTGAAATTAATATATAAGCGTGTTAATAAAGACTGAAGTTTAATATTTGTTTCTCAACCGTATTACCCCCACCTAGTTACAAGTTGTGAATATCTTCGGACACGGCCCCGCGTCGCTTCGTGATACACGATACCCCGAGACTCGTGCGACATGTATCAGCCGTCGTTCTACTTTGAGTATTTGACTGACCAACACCATGTGTCATACGCCACGGTACAAAGTCCAGCAAGTGCCGCACGGCCGACGACGACCTGTCGCCAATTATACGTTGAGTCTTCTTTCCGTTGCCAAAGTGAAAACTTTGAGGATGTACACCACCGGCTCCGGACTCGACGAACCGACCACATCAACGCTGCTAACTTGTTGACCTCGAGGACACCGCGTGGCCGACGACAGCGAAAGTGCCGACATTATTATGCTAAGATTATCATTGACTGTGTTCGTCTTTTCGGTTTGTTTGTTTTTTTTAAATAATCTGTTGTTGCTTGTTTATAAACGGCCCACGGGTGTCTACCCCCAAAACCAGTGTCGACTACATTATTGTGACGTAAGTCGTGTCACTTCCGAAGCATTGATCCAAAAGTTGTTATCGACTAGTTATTTTTTCAATTAGATCATTTTCATCTTACGAGCTTGTCTAATACGCATAATGTAAAAAAAAATTAAGTTGACATCCCCATAAGATATAAAGGACTGACCTAAAAATTATAACAGATAAATGGAAACGCATATGTAATAAACGATACTAAGAATTAAAGTGAAAGCAGAGAAGCGTGAAGGAAACGCTGCCCCAACCAGGTTGATAGTCAAAAAAAATTCAATCATCCCAAAGACATCAATGACAAACATATATTCATGTTAGCTTTTTTTAACTACAAATAGTGTATTCAAGGCTATTATTAATACATTACAAGATGTTGGATGAACGTTTTTTTCTTAATGTGATAAACTTTTATAATAAAATAAAATATTTTAACTTGAACTGTGATTTATTTTAAAATGACTACTATAACACCTGTATTTATTTAACACGTGTTATTGGTGTATTTAATAAAAAAATTATTTAATCTGAGAAAAACAAACGTAAAAAATTAATGGTATGGCAAAAATAACATTTTACGCATAACATATTTAAAGAAATAGTGTTGGCATTTCATTTATACAGATGAATTAAATGGTTATATAATTTATCATCACTTTTGATTTATTGTAATTTTTCTTTTTTTAATAGAATATAAAAAAAACATATAATTATCCAGAATATTTCGCAGCTAAATAATAAAACTATGGTATGCAAAAATATAATTTTCTTAGACTTTTGAATTAAAGAATTATAATAATTGCTAGTAACAAATTTTTTTGTTAAAAACTTAATACAGAAACTAAATTTAATAAGAATTAATATTTCTATATAGCTCTTTATGTATTCAAAATTATATTTGATGGTATGCTTAATGCTTTTAAACAAAGGTAAAACTAATTTTCATTACTTAAAAAAAAATCATTAAGAATAAAAATTAAGAAACCTAACACTTGTATTTTGCAGTTCGTTAAGATTTTATTTATTTAACATTAAAGTTTGCACAAATTTTTCAGCATTATGTTTATCATCATCAAAACCTACTCTAAAACGAAATAAAAGCTTCTGTAAGTATGTATTTATATGAAAGGCGCAACCAGTTTTTCGGGGGAGGTTATTATCTTTTATTTTTACTCATCAAATATTTTTTTACTGTAGAAAACTAAAAACATTTCAAACTTTGTAAATCATTTCCGGGGTTGAAGCTGTTACAACCCTTCGGTTGCGCTATTGATAAACATGATTATTATCATAATATGAGAGCGAAAATCGGGATGAGAATTTATCAAAATTTTTCACTACAAATGTTTTATTTACAGATTCGTAGTTTCATTAGTTCATTAACCCTTAAGTGTATAGATGATATCTGACAGCGAGCAACATCACTATCATAAAAAACCTTTTGATACGAATCTATTAAATAATCACAATAATTTGTAAATTTGTAACTTTACAATTATAATTTAACTAAAATATTAAATGATCGTTAAATTATTTGTTTTATCGCAAAATATGAATTGAAAATACTATTTGTAATTGTTTAGTATAGGATATCTTAAAAGAACATAAAGTACAAGAAACCCATTTAATACTCTTACCACTGTGTTTTTTTACGTCCTTATGACATTATAAATATATATTTCTCATGATATATCTGATACACATATAAAGTGATTTTAGCTACGATGCGAAGCTAAGAAGGTATTAATTTTACCATGATGTGTTTATTATTATTTTTTTTTTGGTCTGTTGCCACTTTTTCTCAGCTCTCACTGGACCGATTTCTTTCAACAATACGTCAAAAGATCACAAATCGTATCTAGTTGAAGACATTACCCTTAAAAATTAAAACATTTTTCCTCGTTCCCCGCAAATGGGGGAAATATCCAAAAAAATTACAAATTTAAAAATCGATAAATTTTGTCATTTTTTTCACTTTTTTTTCTAAAAACTTCCATAACTTTTTCAAAAATCAACAAATCAACATAATTTTTTTTATACTAAAACCTTAGAAATTTTCCTTTTATTTGATTTCATTTTTTTGAAAATCTAACACTTAACCTGCTCACAGGGGGGATTCAAAATAGTAACATTATTACAAAAACTAACTTTTTCAACATAACTTTTGAAAATGTTCCGGAAACACTGCGTCTTTTAAACATATATCAAATTAAAGCTTATGTCATGTTCTATAAAATGGAAAAAAAAAATTTATCCTGACACTTTATCTTCTGCATACAAACGGCTGCCATAATTAAAAAAATGGTATTTTTGTGTTAAAATTTTCGATTTTAAATTTTCAACTTTAAATTCCTATAACTTTTTGAAAAATGTATAGATCAACACAAATTTTTGTTTTCTAAATACATTATATGTATATCTTTTATTTGACATACTTTTTTTAATTACAATTGGACAATTTCCCCTTATATAAGGGTCGTTCAAAACTTGAAACTTTGTATAAAAAAAAGAACTTTTTCAACTTAACTTTTGAAAATGTTCCAAAAATACTGCGTCTTTTAAACATATATCAAATCAAAGGTTATGTCATGTACTATAAAATGAAAAAAACAATTTGTCCTGACACTTTATCGTCTATGAGTAAATTGCCACCGAATTTTAACAAAAAATGTAATATTTACAAATAAAATCAGCTCCTATAGTGATATTTTTGTATTTAAAACTACCATAACTTATTTAAATATTAACAAAAACTAAATAATATTTTTTTATATCGAAACCTTAGGTAATTTCCTTTCATTTGACATCATTTTTTTTGAAAATCTAACACTTATTCTATTCAAAGGGGGGATTTAAAATAGTAACTTTTTTACAAAAACTAACTTTTTCAACTTAATTTTTGGAAATGTTCCGGAAATACTGCGTCCTTTAAACATATATCAAATTAAAGCTTATTTGATGTACTATAAAATTCGATTTTTTTGCATCTTTATCGTAATAGATAACTGAAATAGAAAGAATAGTAATAATCTCCTAATAACTTTTGGTGTTTAAAAAGATTCTGCAATTGAATATTCAGAACTTAATTAATTTTAATAATTTACTTTAACTAAATGAACCAATCAAAACAAAGTAGTTAAAAAGATTTACTCAATTGAGCGTATTATAAAATATAATTATAATTGTAAAAATCCATCGTTAAATTCAGTTGAATGTAAAAATCATTTTTTTTTTAAATTTATGATTTATATAGCAACATATTACAAAAAAAAAATGGCATATTATAGACTGTTAGTAGCACACGNATTTGGCATATTATAGACTGGTAGTAGCACACACAAATAGAGTTAAAAAATTAATAAATTATAAAGTAAAATTATTTACTTTTGTAGTTGAATACTTTTATCATATCAAATCTAATTCGACAATAAATACTTTAAGAATATTAAAAATTAATGATTTTAATTGTTTATATGGATAAAGCTGGTTAAGCTACTTTTTATTTGAATAAGGAATATTTTTTTGATTTTTAAGAGTAATAACTTATACTAATCATTAACTTAAATATCATAAACTTAAATGAATCATTTGACGTATCGTTGAAAAAAATAGGTCTAATGAGGGTTGGCAAAATAAATCGTAGCCACAAAAAGAACCACATAGTAAAATAATATTAACATGAATATAAATTTCTTCTCACGAGGGGAGACTACAGTGATAAGATCCTTTATATTTATTGAAATTATTGAATCTAAATGAGATAAATATCAAATGATTTTACAATTCTATTCTAACTCAAAAAAAAAATGTAAAATGTTATAAGCCACAGATGGATTTGAACCTGGAACCCTAGTCGTGAGAGGCACAGGTGTTACCCATTTGGCAACTGTTCGTTACTTTTGTTTCAAGATAAAATAAGCTATTTAAGCTAACTCAAATTTAAAAATTACTTTTTCGACTTTAAAAAAATAAAAAATTTTTAATAAGTTTAATTTCATATGTCTTATGAACTTTATTCTATGTCAATTAAATTATATAATATTCATGAAAGACAGTGTTTTCCCCTAATAAGATATTTAAAATAAAATAAAATACAAAACCCAGAATTTTAATAAAAAATAGCATATTTTTGAATACGGTAGCCATTTGCGCATAGAAGATAGGTCATCGGGACAAATTTTTTTTTTTAATTTTATAGTACATCAAATAAGCTTTAATTTGATATATGTTTAAAGGACGCAGTATTTCCGGAACATTTCCAAAAATTAAGAAATTACCTAAGGTTTCGATATAAAAAAATATTATTTAGTTTTTGTTAATATTTAAATAAGTTATGGTAGTTTTAAATACAAAAATATCACTATAGGAGCTGATTTTATTTGTAAATATTACATTTTTTGTTAAAATTCGGTGGCAATTTACTCATAGACGATAAAGTGTCAGGACAAATTGTTTTTTTCATTTTATAGTACATGACATAACCTTTGATTTGATATATGTTTAAAAGACGCAGTATTTTTGGAACATTTTCAAAAGTTAAGTTGAAAAAGTTCTTTTTTTTATACAAAGTTTCAAGTTTTGAACGACCCTTATATAAGGGGAAATTGTCCAATTGTAATTAAAAAAAGTATGTCAAATAAAAGATATACATATAATGTATTTAGAAAACAAAAATTTGTGTTGATCTATACATTTTTCAAAAAGTTATAGGAATTTAAAGTTGAAAATTTAAAATCGAAAATTTTAACACAAAAATACCATTTTTTTAATTATGGCAGCCGTTTGTATGCAGAAGATAAAGTGTCAGGATAAATTTTTTTTTTCCATTTTATAGAACATGACATAAGCTTTAATTTGATATATGTTTAAAAGACGCAGTGTTTCCGGAACATTTTCAAAAGTTATGTTGAAAAAGTTAGTTTTTGTAATAATGTTACTATTTTGAATCCCCCCTGTGAGCAGGTTAAGTGTTAGATTTTCAAAAAAATGAAATCAAATAAAAGGAAAATTTCTAAGGTTTTAGTATAAAAAAAATTATGTTGATTTGTTGATTTTTGAAAAAGTTATGGAAGTTTTTAGAAAAAAAAGTGAAAAAAATGACAAAATTTATCGATTTTTAAATTTGTAATTTTTTTGGATATTTCCCCCATTTGCGGGGAACGAGGAAAAATGTTTTAATTTTTAAGGGTAATGTCTTCAACTAGATACGATTTGTGATCTTTTGACGTATTGTTGAAAGAAATCGGTCCAGTGAGAGCTGAGAAAAAGTGGCAACAGACATAAAAAAAAATAATAATAAACACATCATGGTAAAATTAATACCTTCTTAGCTTCGCATCGAAGCTAAAATGATTTTTAGTTTCAATTGAATTTATCAATAGATTTTTACTATTGTAGTCAAATTTTATAATAATACACTCAATTGAGTAGATTTCTAACAACTTTTTGATTCTTTTAGATAAAGTAAATCATTAAAATTAATTAAGCTCTGAATATTTCTATTGTAGAATCTTTTTAAACACCAAAAGTTAATTAGAAATGATTACTATGATTTTTCTATAAGTGATCTATTACGATAAAAATGCAAAAAAAAATTGAGCTTTTCTGATAAATTTACTGTAAATAGTAAATTATAATATTTCTTGACTCTATATTAATCTTAACAATTTCATTTTTTACTATTTAATAATGTCAATTTCAAACTTGCAAGTTGAACTAGGAGTTATGGCAATAACTTTTTTCTTTTTTATTATAAACTTTTACTTTAAAGGACGAAATAAAGTAGGTTAAAAATTATTACTTTTAACATATTAAAAATCAAAATAAATAATAATTTGAAAATAATTCAATATAACAATTATGTAATATAAAATATTATATTATATTTTTGAATCTAAGACTAACTAAACTGGATATAATTAAGGAAATAGTTGATGTTGCTTTTGTATATATCCACCATTTTCTGAGAATTAATCATTATCTACAGATTTGCATCGTAGCGTTTCTTATGATATTGATTTTAATCACTGTCAGATTAAATCTATACTGGACCCAACTATGCCACGCCCCCATTGTGCTGGTTTTTTTTTTATCATAATTCACTCAATTATTTACAGAATAAAAATAATTTAAACATGTTTTTTTTGGTTACCTTTAGTTACATATTATTCTTGAATTATTAGCTATGTAATACTTTTTAAGTCAACTTTGTTTTTTTGAACGGGAATACATATTTTGAATATAATAAAATTTTAGAGTTTTTAATTTAATAGTAAATGGCATTTAAATTTTTAACATAACATAATCGTTTATTAGATGTAAGATTTTAAAATTTCATATTTTTGAGTCAATATTCATGTATAATACACGAAGGATTACTAATCAGGTAGCTAATTGATTTTTACGACGTTGATATTCGCATATAGGCATCGAATATCTGTGTATTCGCAAACATTTGTAGGACACGTTGTTGTGAGTAAATAACAAATTAATAAATACTTCAAATAGCAATACAGGGAGCATATCTTATGCACCCAAAGAAAAACCTCAATCAAAATTGAAAGAGAAATTTTATCAAGGGTTTATGATAATGTTTTATTAATACGAACAAAATAACTATTCTTATAAATAATTATTGTTCAAGATAAGAAAAAAAAATATCATATTGATAAATATATCATTGATTCAATAGTAATGATATATTTATCAAATTGAACAATGAATTTATTATATAGATCGAGGTTTTTCTTTGGGTGTGATAGTCATAATTGACAATAAAGTTTCGTGACTGTAATAGCGACGTCATAAAAAATCAATTACCTATATTAGTTATCCATTGTGTATTATACATGTATGAAAATTAAAAATTTGAAACTCTAAAGTTTTATATCTAATATGTAAATAAAAATTTGATTAAACAAAGTTAATATTTTTACAAGTCATAAGGATGAATTTAAAAAGTATTACATAGTTAATAATTCAATTCCATTCATGTACATTGTATTTTCATTATAAACAGTATATTTACATAAAGCTTAATATGTATCATATACTATACTAAAAATATTCTAGTTTTAGTGTTTCTGAAAAAAAGTTATAGCTACAGTAGAACTCCAATTATCCGAATTAATGGGGACCGGGACCCATTCGGATAATCAAATATTCGTATAATCGGAGTTTTTTTTTANCCGGGACCCATTCGGATAATCAAATATTCGGATAATCGGAGTTTTTTTTTTAAAAAATTGCCATTGGAGAGAAAAAACGCTACGTTTTGATATTGCACTATTTTTTTATTGAATTAAATGAAAGAAACATGATATTTTCACATGTTTTAAATATAAATAAAATGTACTTACAAGTTTAGAAATAAAAATCATTGTTTTTTAAACATCTCCGTCAATGTAAGCTGTTTTGCGGTCTTCATCCGTTTTCGGGCAGCCAGGTCACGCATTCGCTTGACGGTGAGCAGTTGCAAGTGGTCACACTCGGGCTGACGCTCCATCCACTTCAAAGCAGTCTCGAGGCCGGCAAATGCTTCACTAGCTGATGGTCCAGCGTCTACTTCAACATCAAGCGAAAGTTCTTCTTCCACTTCCACTTCAACATCTTCTCTCACACTTTCAACAATTTCATCGTCATTGAGAATTTGAAAACCAGGGTCAGACGTGTCACAAGCCATCCACTCTCCTACATCTTCAGCACTTACTTCTGTACAACCAGGAATTTTTACAATCATTTTTCTTATTTCCTCTAGTGGCAACGCATCTTCATCATCTTCATCCTCTCCATTTTCTTGTTTCTCATTTTCTTCAGATTCTTTCTTTTTGTTCTTCTCAGACGGTAGGCCTTTCAGTTTATTCCACGCACGTCTTAGCGTCACTGCCGTAACCAAACTCCAAGCTTCCGCTACCATGTAACAGCAGTCCTTTAAATTTATTTTGCTATGATTTGCCAAAACCAATTCTTCATCTTCAGCACCTTCGATCAGCAGTTTTCTCAGCAGTTGCTTTCTGTAATGGCGCTTCATTGTTTCAATAACAGACTGGTCCATGGATTGCAGCAAACTTGTAACATTGGGAGACAAAAACGTCGTTATAAACTGCCCATTCTCTCTTTCCAACAGTTCTGCTGTAGGATGAGTGGGTGCGTTATCAACAATTAAAAGCACCTTACTGCCTTCTTTTCCCACCGATTTTTGGTGCTTTTTCACTTCAGGAATAAACACTTCATCATACCATTCGGTAAACAAAGCTGCAGTCATCCAGGCCTTGGGTTGACTTTTGTAGAAGAGTGGAAGTTTTTTTACGTTTTTAAATGCTCTTGGATTTTTTGATTTTCCTATCAAAAGAAGTGGTAGTTTATGATTTCCAGTGGAGTTGGCACAGTTAAGCACTGTAACACGTTCTTTACTGACCTTATGTCCAGGGGCACTAGATTCCCTTTTAGAAGCCAAAGTGGTTTTTGGTAATGCTTTCCAAACAAGGCCAGTTTCATCGGCATTATAAACAAACTCCGGATCATAGGATTCTGCTGCAGTTTTAAATTTTTCAATAAAATTTTCAGCAGTTGCAGAGTCTGCTGAAAGCTTCTCACCAGCCAAATCTAACTCGCGTACACCATGCCTGAATTTAAAGTTCCTTAGCCAGCCGTTACTAGCCTTAAAAGATGAATAACCAAGCTTTTCTGCTAAGATTTTGGCTTTTTCACAAAGGATTGGACCTGAAATCGGATTTCCCATAGAACGTTGCTGCAAAAACCATTTAAACACGGCATCTTCCAAATTTTTGTTGGTTGCTGTCTTCATTGTTTTCCTGGAGGAACTTCCATCTTCATTTTCAAGCACCGAAACAAAGTTTAAAAGTGTTGACTTACTGTTTTTAATGTCACAAATTGTTGCTTGTCCAACACCATAAATCTCAGACAACTTCTTACCCGTTACACCTTTATCGAGTTGCTCTATAATTTTCAGTTTGTCCGCTAACGATAGCACAACACGTTTTCTTTTCGAAGCCATGGTAAAAAACAATACAGTACACGCACAAACAAAAGTAAGCCGTAGCGAAAGAGTAGCGTTCTCGAGCAAGGTCAATTTAGCACACTGACTAATCAAAACAAACAATGACAGGTGACTGCAATGCGCCGGAACTGGAGTGGGAACTCTTACCACGTGTTGTGCCTACACTGACGCCGCGGACTTTGGACAAATTTTTTTCTGATTTTTTCTGAAAGTGATTCGGATAATCGGCGATTCGGATGGTCGGAGTTCGGATAATTGGAGTTCTACTGTACTTTTAAGTGCGAAAAAATTGTTTTAAAATTTCCAACTTTACTGTAGTTAAATTTAAAGATATTTTTTAAACATTTTAAAATTAATAGAATTTTATTAACACTAAAACGTTGACGAACGTTTATTCGCGGAATTATGGAATTTCATTCAACTGTACTTAATAATTAAACCAAATTCGTGATTATCCATTTTTTTCTTACCCTCTGTCATGAAGTTTCACTTCAAAAAAAATAGCTTTACCCGCTTTTTTAACTTTGTATTAATTAAGAGAACTAAATTTTAGTCATTAAGTTTTTGACTTGATACAGATTTTTTAAAGTTTTTACTAAATGCTTATTATATTTTGCAATAAGCTTAATTCTAATGTTTTATTATATTTTTTAAGCACCAATATTAGGATGTTTTATGCCGTCAAATTATGAAGGTACTAAAAATTATTATCAAGTTAAAACTGTTGCAAAAAACATGAGCTATTCTCAAAAATCAGTATATTTTCATTATTTTAGTGATGGAAAATTCTTTTTTCACAGTCTTGTTGATCTTATAAAATTTAATCACAATCAAAAATGATATTGTAATACATTTTTATAGATGTAAAATGTATATTAATTTTAAGAAAAAGTATATAAACTATAATGGTTGCACTTGTGTACATTCAATTTACATTTAACATCAAAAATTCTTATAATAAATTACATTGGTAGGCAAAGAATATTCATCCAAAACAAAAATTTATTTTTAAACCAATTTTTTTCGATGATTTTAAATCTGTAATTTGTTTTTTTTCTATATACTACTTTTTGAAATAATTACTAATTAGTAAAAAGGAGAAATTACTCCCTAAAAATTAATTATTAATTATTAAAAACAAAGAAATATTTGTTTTGTTTTAAACTACTTTTAATTTTGATTTTTAATATGTTTACAATAATTAGTGCAAAGTTTTGATCTGAAATGCCATGTTTATCTGTTATACGACGGCTTGGTCTAGAGTAAACACTAAAACACACACACATAAATTAATTGTTCTCTTTAACGTCAAACGCATTTATTTAGGTCTTTCCAAGTCATTCTGTAGAAAAAATCTATTTACACATTTGATATCAGCGCAAAAAATTGGAATATATTTTAGCCCTTGACAATTATAAAAAGTTTGTTTTTATAGACCAGTGTTATATTAAATCTAGGGAAATTATTAACTTTTACTTTATAATAGTTGATGAAATAAATTTTTAATATTTAATATTTTTTTTTTAGATGTTTTATTCGATGAAGGTATAATTAAAAAAAACAACTCATTTGTTTTTGTCTGATCTAACACTAAGATTTAGTTTTACTTATGAACAAAATAATATAATTTTTTTATATTAATACAAAAAATAGTAATGTTTGATTATTAGGTTATATAAAAATAATAAATTAAACAAATGAATACATTTTAATTAAACAAATTATACTTAATAATAATTGAATTATTATGTAAAAAACAGTATGTAGTTTGTGCAGTGTATCAATTTGAATAATTAAAAAATTATCTAAGATGTGAATATTTCAATTGCAGCATCTATTTAAAAATCAAGAACTACATAAAATAGATTGCTATGTGTCACTATTGAAATGATTTAATACGATAAAAAAATAGTGATTTTACACAAAATTTCTTATTACTAACTGTTAATAGTATTTAAGCTGGCGACTACATATCAATCTAAAAATACATATTCAGCATAATGTGCGTCACTGAAAATTTCAAATGTTAAATTTACATTAATTTCAAAATATAAACCACAATAAATTGTCTTTTTAATATTACGTATGATTTATTTAACCAAAGTCCATTGACTCTTTGATGGATTTGACAGAAATCGACATGTATAAATATAATCTATGCTATATGATTATATGATATATAATCATTTATATATTCTATAAATAAATAACGTAGGCTATATTTGGTTTTGTAATTTGAAATTGAAATGATAGACTTCCGACTGCTTGATGATATGGAAATACTTCATTAGTTTATCCTGTATTTATATCTAAATAATTACACCTGACTTATTAATTGGAATAGATAATTCTTTTGTATCGTTCAAATTAAATTTTAGTATAGTATTAATCGCATAATTACTCTGATAAATAAATATCGAACCGTTATTTAATTTATAAATATTTATGTCAAGTAGTTCAACGATTGTTGAATACTTGTCTGGTTATTTTAACATTGTATTATCGTGTAGCTTAATTTAATGAAATTATGTTGTTGATTTTCTGTTTTGTTTTTAATTAGTTCTTGTTCATCTTGATTATTTTATTCACTATCAATAAACACTGTTTCTTATTGTATGTCATCAAAAATATTATAAATATTTCAAGTATCACTTTCATGACTCGTAGATATAAATAAATAAATAAGCCAAAACTATTAAATTAAATATTAAAATTAATGTTTTTTATAGACCAAGTTATTAACTTCTACTTTATAATAGTTTTTGATATCAATTTTTAATATTTAATATTTGTTTTTCAGTTGATTTATTCGATGAAGGTATAATTAAAAAAAAACAACTTGTTAAAGATTATTATAACTAATTGCTAAAAGTGTCTTGTTGCGACCAAATATTTGAAACAAAAGTAATTTAATTTTTATTTGTTCTTGGATTAAGTTCTGAAAATCCCTGGCAGTAATGCTTCTAGTCGAAACTGAATAATGGGTAGTCAAAATATATAATAAAACTCAGTAGACTTATTAGAATATTAATAATATTTCAAATGAATATAACACGATTATCATTTTTTTACATAATTAAACTCAAAGAACACTTCTCCATCGTTAATTATCCTGAATTCCGGCTAGTACACCCTGCCTATTATATTATTTAAATCATGTAAAATGAAATATTAAATTTACAGATGAATCAAAATTATCAGAAGATGAATCAGAAAAAAGTAAAACATTTTTAATAATTTATTTTTACGATACAATATTTTAAAGGGTTTAATAAAATCTTATATCATATCAAAAATAGTATACTATTCAATTTTTTTTATTAGATATCTTAATTGATTATTTCAGTTGTTATAACTAATATTATTTCTTGGAGTTCGGAAGTCATTTTAAATTTAATATTTTGAAAATTCATTGAAATAAATAAATTAATATAAAAAAACTTGAATATTTTTTATTAATTCACCTTAGTTTGTTATCTGATTCAAAGAGCTATTAATATGAAAAAATTATGGGGTCTGTCACACGTTTCCCAGTCCCCTTCATAAAAATTTTGCACAATTTTTTTTTATAATAATTATTATTATATTTAAATGAATTTGTATGCTAAAAATTAGAATTTGTATGATATTCGTTTACTAGATATAATAATTTTTCTAATGCGGAATTTGAAAAAAACGTTTCCCAGCCCCGCATTTCTAAACATTTGGTTTATTATATAATTAATGTTCGCGCAAAGCACTTTCAAAGTTGGTCACACTGATAATCTCTATCAGTAGTTAATAATGCCCCATCCAGGTCGATAGTCCTTACCTAGTTCGAACATTTGCTTTCTATTTCTTTTTTTTTCTCTTTTTCGTTGCTCTAGTAAATACGTTAATATTTAGAAACGTTAATATTTTTTACTATTTTTAGCTTCGATGCGAAGCTGAGAAGGTAATAATTTTACCATGATGTGTTTATTTTATTTTATTTTTTTTGTGTCTGTCACTAGTTTTTCTTAGATTTTACTGGATCAATTTTTCTCAAAGATACGTGTAAAGATCAGGAATGGTATTTAGTTGAAAACATTACCTTTAAAAATTGAACATTTTTCCCTCGTTCCCCGTAAATGATGGAAATTTTCCAAAAATTACGATTTTTAAAATCGATAAATTTCGACATTTTTTCACTTTTTCTTTTCTCTAAAAATTGTCATAACTTTTTGAAAAATAAACAAATCAAAATATTTTTTTTTTATATTGAAATCTTAAGTAATTCCCTTTTTATTTTATATAATATTTTTGAAAGTCTGACCCTTTACCTGCCCATAAGAGGGAATTCAAAATAGCAACTTCTGCACAACAATTTAACTTTTTCAACTTAAGTTTTGAAAATGTTTCAGAAATACTGCGTCTTTAAAACATGTCAAATTAAAGCTTATGTAAGGTACTATAAATTAAAAAAACATTGTCCCGACGACTTAACTTCTTTATGCAAATAGTTGCCGTAGTTAAAAAACATAATAGTTTTGTGTTAAAATTTTTGATTTTAAATTTTCAACTTTAAATTGCTATAACTTTTTGAAAAATGTATAGATCAAAACAAATTTTTGTTTTTAAATACATTATATATATATTTTTTTTTTAATTGGTCAATTTCCCCGATTTTTCGGGCGTCCAAAACTTGAAACATACGTATAAAAAACAGATCTTTTTCAACACAACTTATGAAAATGTTCCGGAAATAATGCGTCCTTTAACATGTGTTAAATTAAATCTTACAATATGTACTATAAGTTAAAAAAAAATATGTCCCGCCGACCTATCTTCTATGTGCAAATAACCGTCAAAATTGAACAAAAAATGTAATTTTCGTATAAATAATCAATGTTATTTTTGTACTTGATACTGCCATAACTTTTTTAAATAATGAATGATCCAAAATAATTTTTTTTATATAAACACATTACTTATTTCCGTTACATTTGATATAAAGTTTATGATAAACTGATCCTTTACTTGCCCACGGGGGGATTCAAAATAGCAACATTTTTACAAAACTCAACTTTTTCAATTTTAGTTTTAAAAATGTTTCGGGAATACTGCGTCTTTTAAATATATGTTAAAATAAAGTTAAATTTATGTACTAGAAGTTCAAAAAAAAATGTTGTACTGACGACCTATTTTCTATGTGCAAATGGCAGACGAAGTAAAATAAAAAATAGGAGTTAATTTTGCTTTTGAAATAATTCACCAATTTTTAAAATTAAACACTATCTACAGATTTACATTGAAGCGTTTCTAATGATAGTGATTTTAATCATTGTCAGATACCATCTATACTTGTCCCACTATGCCATGACACCATTGTGCTACCTTTTTTTTCCTTATATATTGTACAGATTCACTGTAAAATTTTTTTTCTTTATTTGCATACAATTGCTTCTATATTATAATTTTATTTTTGAACATTATAGCTTACAGCTAGTGTCATCATCATTCTTGGTAATTTATTTAATTATTGTAATAAGTTAATATTGTTCTATTTACAAAGTTTGGGTCATAGATTTTATATGTCGATATATATTTTGGCCATCACAATTTCAGTCAGATCCACTATTAAAATCATTCTTAATGACATATGGTTGTAACTGAAACACTTCACAGACCGCAGCCTCTGTCATTAACATTGCATTCTTATAGATAACACAGTGTTGAGAATTTCATATTATTACTTTATACTATTTACTATACAGAGTGTTCAGTAAGTAAGGATATTAGTAAATTGTTATAAACAATGAGAACAATAGAAACCCGTGTTTTTACTTACTGAACACTCTATATAAATCCATTATATCGAACGGCAGCTAACGAGAGATATAATAACCCCAAGTGGTATAAGTACAGTCTTATAGCTACAGCCCGTGACGAAATATTTCTTGAAATTTTAAGAGAGGAATTAGATCCTTTATTATGTCTTCACAATTATGTCCTTCATCTTTGCAACATATTTAGAGAATTTCTTGCTTACGTTTATCAACCTGAAAGCTGACGAATGGTCTGGATGGGTATTATACCTAAACCTAACCATGCTAACTACTATGTAACAAAATTCTACAGTCCAATTAGTTTCACTTTATTTCTTCTTAAGACTATAGAGAATCTTATTGATAGGTACATAAAAAGGAGAACCCTCCATACTAAACAAGGAAATCTATTGACAGCTCTACATATAACTTAACTACCAAAATTTGGAAAGATATAGAATATAAAATATATATATATATATAATGTAAATATTTAATTTTTTTTATAGATGCTTGATGTCTGTACCTATCATATTGTATATTTTTTTATAAATCTGACACTTTACCTGCCCACAGGGGGGATTTAAAAGGACAACTTTTTTACAAAAAATTAATTATTGAAAATATCCGGAAAGTCCGGATATATATATATATATATATATCTTAAATTAAAGCTAATGTAATGCACTTTATTATGAAAAAAAAAATTTCGGACTTTATTTTGTCTTCACGGAGATAATGGCTACCGAATGCTATTTTTGTGTGAATATTCTCGATTTTATTTTTTACATTTTTAACTTTATAATCTTATAACTTTTTGGATAGTGTATGGATCAACACAATTTTTTTATGAGAAATAATATTTATATCCCTTTTTTATTCGATATACTTTATCTTCATCAAGATATTAATAAGGAAATGATCATGTAGCTTTTGGAAAAATACACTATTTTTTTAAAATGAAACACTGTCTAAAGATTTGCATCGAAGCGTTTTTTTTGTACAGTGAATTTAATCACTGTCAGATATCATTAAACTTGATTCAATTATGCCACGTCACCACTGTGCCGCGACAAACCTGTGCTGGGTTTTTTTTATTATTTGTTTGTTACACCCTAGTGCTCAAAGCTCTCGTGTCCTTGCACACCTTCAGTGATTAAGCCCTGACCATAATTAAATAACTTTATTGCTTTAGTCGCTTTTCCGCCGTCTGTTTTCATTCGCCATTACGTTGCTGCATCTATATTCTGACTTATGATACTCAGACGTATGATATCATTATTACACTATCTCATACAGTCCGCTCACCATTATCAATAGTTTCATCTATTTAGTTCAGTTACGTGACAAAAGTATCTATTTATTGTTTTGTCTATTTGTATATATATATATATTTGTGTTGAGCCGAATGCGGACTGCGACGGCGTTTGTCGGTAAAATTATCATGATAAGGTGTTGTGATTTGTTTATGCGCGTGCGAGATAGTCAGCTGTGTACTACTTCAGACCGGTTCATGGACGGCATTTGTGTGTACATTCACCCCGCTCCTTTCCTATCTTGAACGTCATTTGCACTGCTCACCGCATACATTGTCGCCATATGATTTAAATTGTTTTTAATAATTTCTGGCAATGGGTATTTAGTTATTTTTTGACCCCTACTCTAAAGGCTAGCCGTTTGGTCGACAACGTACCGCCGGGTCAAACGTCGGACGGGTTGTCGGGGAATAGCCATAGTCGGAACTGGTCGCACTATTTCCCGTCCACAGCGGTTATTTTTTGTTGTGTGCGCTGCAACTGTTAATTATATATATATATTTTCGCGAGTGTCCGCTATGTTGTAATTATGTAAATTTTGTGTTTAATGGCGTCGGCTAAACCTGCCTCCAGCTTCTTGAGCCCTTAGGGGCTGGTAATGTATAGTTTATTATATAATGTTTTGAGCCAGTTATTTTTTAGTGCGCCGTGGCATAAGTATTGGAACACGCCTGCCATGTTGAGGGACCTAAATAAAAAAAATATAGGGACACCTACAGAAAAAAACTATATAAAAAAATATAAAAAAATTCGCCACACGTGCTTATGCCACGGCGCACTAAAAAATAACTGGCTCAAAACATTATATAATAAACTATACATTACCAGCCCCTAAGGGCTCAAGAAGCTGGAGGCAGGTTTAGCCGACGCCATTAAACACAAAATTTACATAATTACAACATAGCGGACACTCGCGAATATATATATATATAATTAACAGTTGCAGCGCACACAACAAAAAAAAACCGCTGTGGACGGGAAATAGTGCGACCAGTTCCGACTATGGCTATTCCCCGACAACCCGTCCGACGTTTGACCCGGCGGTACGTTGTCGACCAAACGGCTAGCCTTTAGAGTAGGGGTCAAAAAATAACTAAATACCCATTGCCAGAAATTATTAAAAACAATTTAAATCATATGGCGACAATGTATGCGGTGAGCAGTGCAAATGACGTTCAAGATAGGAAAGGAGCGGGGTGAATGTACACAAAAATGCCGTCCATGAACCGGTCTGAAGTAGTACACAGCTGACTATCTCGCACGCGCATAAACAAATCACAACACCTTATCATGATAATTTTACCGACAAACGCCGTCGCAGTCCGCATTCGGCTCAACACAAATATATATATATATACAAATAGATAAAAAAAATAAATAGATATTTTTGTCACGTTACACAGTATAGAATAGAACCATTTTTTACTAAGTGGATTGAAACCATGCATTATCTAGGGACAGTTCAATGAAACCAAAGTAATCGAGAGTGTTAAATAGAGAAGCCCACAAGGAGGGATTCTATATCACTTGTTATGACTAATTATAGACTTAGCATAGTAGAGACTGAATACTATACACATGTTGTGTAGGAAGTATAACCTAGATGTTAATCCAAACATAACAGATATAGTAATTTTTACCAGGAGATGAACAAGACTTGATAGTCTTGACTCACTTATTTTAAATGTACTAAAAATTGTCTTTAAACCAGATGCGAGATAGTCGAGTATTATCCTAGACAGTAAGCTGAGATGGAAATCACATATTGAGGCTAGAGACAAAAACGTCATAGCTATATTGTGGAAATGCAGCAGAACTCTGGGAATGATCCGGGGCTTTACATCAAAAGCTATGAATTGGATATTCTCTACCTATTATACCTATTATACCTATTATACCTATTATACCTATGGTTATTTATGGTGCCTTTGTCTGGTGGACCAGAATGACATTTATTACAGCCAGGAAAGAACTTAGACACATTAAAAAATTAGCTGCTATATTCATCAATATTTATCAATCAAAGTGCTACATAAAAACTGATGCAGAGAACAACACAGAAAAATTGGGAGTGTTACTCAGATATTCATAAATGTTTAACTCTCGGTCTACTATTGAGGAATCTTAATAACATGAGTAAATATCAAATAAGCACACTGACTACCCCTGATAGAAAAAAATCATCTGCTTAAACATATTACATAAAATCACATAAAGATGTGTAATGACACAATTGAATAATCACTGTGTCAGAAGTGTGAAGCAGAATAGGAGGATTCATTTCACATTATCGATGATTATGATACTCTGGCCACATTAAGAACTAAACATTTGGAAAAATATTTTCTTGAAAAAGAAGATATCAAAAACCTAAAACACAAAGAGATACTTAATTTCGCCAGAAAGACAGGACTTTTTGAACATAGGTGTGCCTAGTAGGACGTCCTAAATTGTACATATGTATATATAAATATATAATCTTATGTATTCTAACAATGGCAACAACTTTCGGTGGAAACATTTATGCAAAGTAACCAAATTAATATAATTCAGTAGTAGGTGCGCACAATTGACGGGTCTGAGTGTATAGGCAGTTCTTTCCATCTTTCTAATAACTAAAATTGTATTTAAAACTAATCTAATATTAGGTTAGTTTAAAATTTACATAATTTTAATTTCAAGAAAATTATTTTTTATGTTATTAATTATAAAAAAACTATATTTTTAAAAATCGGTGGCTGGGGAAACGTTTCTATGGTCCCCCATTAGTGTGTACAAATTTATAAAAATAGAGTACTAATTATTAGAAAAAAATAGTGTAAAATTGTTAAGAGGGTGGCTGAGAAAACATAAGTGGGTCCGTGTACGTCTTTAGATTTCAATCTTTGTTTTAGGAGATACATATTAAAATAAAAATAGAATTTTTATGTTTTTAACTTTTACATATTATGATACTCCTCTATTTGTTCCTTGTGGATAGGGGATAAAAATACTTCTACGGCCTCTCTACCAGTCATAAGAGACGACTAATAAGTTACGTAAGGTCGACAGTCCGCATAATATTTTTGTCAAAAATTATGAGGAGTCCTGAACAAAACGTAGGCGGATAGACCTATTTTGGATTTAAGCGGACAACAAATGAGAGGAAATAAAGTAGTTAAAAACGGAAAAGGCCTAAAAAATAAAGTGTTTGATTCCAGCCGGGGAACTTGTGTTGTTTCACCAATTATACAGGTGTACAGGTCTCCCCAACGCTTGTAGTGTCAACGGTGTAGGGACATCACCACTCAACTTTAGGCAGGACCGTGTATAATGAAGAATGATAGGAACAAATAAGATAAGAAAGATAGATAAGAATAGGTATTTGGAATGTTGGAACATT